GAAAGGAAAAATGATGAGAAATGGAAAAAATGGAAATAAAGTCTTTGTAAGTAGGGAAGGGTGGAGGGGGTCAAGGGAGGGCTAGGAATGGGGAAGAAATAAGAACCAAGATGCATCATGTAAAGGTACAATTCCCAATGAGAGATGTAATTGTGTTGTATACCTACAATGTACCAATAAAAGAATTTAATACAAAAAAAAATTCTTGAACTTTTTAAAACCACAGGTCCTTTCTTACCCAAACCTTCCCCAGTATCTTAAAAGGAACAAGCTTCTGACTGAGGAAGAAAGCAGAGAAAAGGGTAGGATGTAGCTCAGCGATAGGATGTGAAGGTTTGAAGCCCTAGGTTCCGTCCCAGCAGTGCCAAGAAAGAAAGAGAAAACAGATCTTTGCTTGTCTTTTCTTTCAGGTTGTAGAACTATGTTTAATAATGAAAGAAGATTCTTTAGCATGAATTTATGGGATTTTGAGTAGCTCTGAACTGAATTACTGTTAGCTAAGGGAGTCTAGATCTATCAATCTAAATGTATTTATGTAAACGGTTAAATGCTGTAATCAAGCTGCTGGCCCATCTTATGGAACAACCACTACCAGCTAGCACTGAACCCCAGGCTCCTCTTTGGGAAGTAGTTCACCCTACTTTGCTCCTCCCTGTAAATTCTTGCTTGATTCTCCACTTTCTAGAACTCTTAGTGCACATCGCAGTTCAGTCAGAGGCCACAATAGATGAGGGAAGCCAGGTTGATGGGGAAGGAGTGAATCTGAGGTTGGCGGCAACATTTGGAAATCAAGGAGCCTTTGCCTGCCCATTTCTGGCCATCCAGAAGTTGTCCCAGTTCAATCCAAATACACCCAGCTTTTCATAGCTACTGGCTTGGGACCATCCCAGGGATATTGTTTGAGAGCCAAGTGTTAAGCAGTGGTCACAAGGGACTCCGTATGGGAGGGACTAGGAATTTGGCCACTTGGGCTGACTTGAAGTCAGTGAAGATGAGGTACGTCAGTTTTTTATCATTGTGACCAAAATACTTGATATAAACAACTTACAGGAGGAAAGGTTTATTTTGGCTCGTGGTTTCAGAGGATCAGTCCATGCTGTTGGCTTCAGAGCAGAAACATCATGGCAAAAAGGAATGGTGAGGAAATAAAGCTGCTCATGCTCACTCATAGCAGCCAGCACACAGAGAGCAAGAAAGAGCCAGAGAAAAAAATAATACACTTCAAAGGCACCCCCCTGTGACTTACCTCCTCCAACTAGGCCCCACCTTCTAATGGCACATTCAGCTATGAGCTCATCAGTGGACTAACCCACTGATGAGGTTAATGTCTGTGATCTCATCACCTTCCATCTCTGCACACATGAGCTTTTGGGGGAGACAGTTTGGATCCAAACCATAACACAAGAGTAATTAAGGTAGGGGATTAGATCAGAGAGATTGGATCTGGTATAGACCCTGTGACATCTACTTGTAGAGAGGTTCTGTGATGGGAAGAACTGGGCCCTGAAACCCTTCACTCAGCAGATGTTTGCTGAAAATCTGTTACTAAATACCCTGGAAACAGTAGTGGCAAATTAGGACAAGTGGTGGCCAGCCAAGGACTAGAGGGAGCACGTATTTTAGGTAGGAAAAGGCTTTAGCCAGGGATGCATAGCCAGATGCTTAGCCAGATGCTGTGAAAAACTAAGACCTTCGCAAGGATCGTCCATGTGATGACCAAGGACAGGGCTTCAGCAGAGGGAACGCACAGTAAGGCCCTGAGCTGGAGAGAGCAGTGTGGCCAGAGCACTGGGAGCAGGGCAGGGAGGGCACAAGGAGTTGTGAGGCACGTAGCAGCCGGGGGTTTTCTCAGGTACGTGGAAAGCTCTGCAGAGGGAATCACTAGAGACTTGTACCACACTTGGCTTCAACTACATTTCTAGCAGTACAGATGGAGAAGTAGCTGGCCTTGAAATTAATTTTAGATTTTGCTACTGGGAGGAATTGGAGGTTCCTGTCCTTGGTTTGTGGAAATGTAGTATAAATTTTTTTCTTTGATGCTAAGGATTGAGCCCTGTACCTCAAGCACACCAGACAAGTGCTCTACCACCGAGGTTCATCCCTGGGCAAAAAAGGTGAGCATTTCTAAGGCTGATGTACCAAACCTGCATTTCTCCCAGTGTTGCTCTGCAGTGAATCTGCAACCTTGGGTTGAGGCTGGGAAATCCCTAGCATTTCACAACATTGTCTTTGTTGCTGGGTGACAGATGAATTCCCCTTTGATTTAACTGGTGAAAGAGTCATTCCACATCACTGCCTACCTTTCCTGTTTCAGCTCACAGGAAGCTGAAATAATAGCACATTTTCAAAGATTACATGAAACTAGAGTGCCCTGTATCTGATTGTGTTTATGTTGCCGATCTTTTGGGATTGTCAGAATACTCTGTAATTTAATATCCTCTCCTTTTGTATTTCTTTCTGTCTCTCTCTGCAGATGAAATCATAACTTCTCATGGTGCAATTGAGCCAGACAAAGACAATGTACGTCAAGAACCGTATTCTTTGCCACAGGGTTTTATGTGGGACACTTTAGACTTGAGTAATGCGGAGGTGGTGAGTAAAACTCTTTGCTTCAACACCTGCATTCACAAAAATTGCTTCTGACTTGGTCCTGAGCACCATCGACAGGATGCTTGTTTTATATTGTAGCTCAAGGAGCTATACACATTGTTAAATGAGAATTATGTAGAAGATGATGACAACATGTTCCGCTTCGACTATTCGCCGGAGTTCCTGTTGTGGTATGTCCTACTGGTCATGTGGACTATTGAGAGGCCCATTGGGCTGGGAGGTCTTGGGTCTTTTCGTGGGTCTTTTTCAGACACTAACTAGTGCTTGTTTTTCTTGTCTTCCCTGACTTCAGGGCTCTGCGTCCCCCAGCCTGGCTCCTACAGTGGCACTGTGGGGTCAGAGTGTCTTCAAATAAGAAACTAGTAGGATTCATAAGTGCCATCCCAGCCAACATCCGGATTTATGACAGGTGTGAGTTAAGGCTTGTCTGTGTCAGTTCTGTGTATTTCTTTTCCAAGAATTGCATTCGAGTAGGCTTTTAAAAATTACTCAGTGCCAGGGGCCGAGGATTTAACTCAGTGGTTCCAGCTCCTGCCTTGCAAGCTCAAAGTCCAGAGTGTGATCCCCAGTACCAAAAAAAAAAAAAATGCTCACTGCCAGCTGTCAGTTTGATGGGCAGAGGCTATATGGGGACTCTGCTCAATTTTGCACTGAACCTATTTTTTAACATAAAAGTTAAATTTATTGGTTTTTTTAAAAAGAAAAAGGACAACTACCTCTGTCCATTCCTCCATCTATCCCTCTTTACTCCTTCCCTCTCTTTGTCTTTCTGGTTTTCTTTTTTTTTGGTACCAGAGATCGAGCTCCGGTCCTTGTGCTTACACAGCAGGCGGTGAAACCACTGAGCTAAATCCCTGGCCCCTGGTTTTCTTTTTATGACTCTCAGTCTCATACATGAACACGGATATGTATTATGTACATACACATATACATATAGTACATGTGTATTGTTGAAATAGCCATAAACAGGCATTTCTGATTTATTTCTGGGGGAAAAAATTAGTTAGAATTTTATGAGGGATGAAGAGTTTATCTCCATAGAATAAATGTGTTGCATTTTTGCTCTGGATTTCCAACTCAGAAAGTCTAAGATCCAGCTATGAAGAGCAAAGATCTAATGTGTAATATATATATGTGCCATCCCATGTATTAGGTTAGCTTATTTGTTGACAAATGCATGTGATCTTGGGGAATACTGGGTGCTAAAAAAAGAAAGGCCTGCATATGTGGAGGCAGAGCTGGACATGGCCTTGAAGCTTTTTGAAGGTTTATTGTTGCTCAGTCAGACACCAGCTCTGCTCTAGTCATATCCCCTCTCATGGGTCTTGGTGATTTGTATCTTGCTTCAGAGCAACATCTTTTTCAAGTCTGCACCAGTTATCACCACAATTATACATGCTACTGGGAAAAACAGAAACTTTGAGGCACATTTGACCCAATTTCTAAAATGAAAACTTATAAAAAAGATCAGTCTTAAAATTTATTTAGAACAAAGAAGTTTGGCTGCCATGCCTAGAGTTATATTCATTGTGGCAGAGGAGTAATGGCAAATAATGTTTCAGTCTGATTTTGTGAAATGTTTTCCTTAAATATTGTTAAAGGATGTCTTCAACATTCTTATCCTTTGACATTTTATGGATAATGTCGTTTTTAAAATGTGCTCATCTTGTGTTGGCCCTAATTTTCAACATCTTTGTTTCTTAGTGTTAAGAGGATGGTAGAAATCAACTTTCTTTGTGTTCATAAGAAATTGAGATCAAAGCGCGTAGCCCCAGTGTTAATTAGAGAAATAACCAGAAGAGTGAACCTGGAAGGAATCTTCCAGGCTGTGTACACTGCTGGAGTGGTCCTTCCTAAGCCCGTGGCCACGTGCAGGTAATGGTTACCACATCCCTACTACAAGCCTCCCTTTGCCAAACATGTCAAGCATCCTTCCTGTTAGAAGTTGTACTCTTCTTGGATATAGCAGGACGGATTTTGGCTGACTGGGAATTATGGACTTTGTTGGTGGCAGAGATGGAGACCAGAACCTAGAACCACAGAGTCCAGAATTTGCCCCCATACATCATGGAGCCACTTGGTGACTAAAAATAAATTAACATTTTTCTGCTAATGGTACTGGATATATATTTCTGTTTTTATTCCACTTGAAAGACAACTGTTGTATATACCTGGAGAAATGTAGGGCATTGTGATCTCAAAAAGACCAGTGTCATACTTTTTGTTTCCATCTGTAAACTCACTTTTCTGCCTTGGTTTGCAGCACTGCTAAACTTCTCCAAAAACCTGTTGAACATCAGTTGAAAGCCTCAGATATGGTTGTTTGCTCAGAGTCAGAAGAAAGCTTAAGTTCTGTTTGTATGGCTTCCTTGATTCTATCACAGGCTTTTGAAGGTTATTTCAGTAAGAGAGTAATCAGACTACCACTGGAGTAACCTGTTCTAAAACATCAGAGTTATCACCCTCCACTATTTTTATTGACTCAAAAGGATGAAACATCAAATAAACATAATATAAAAGGTAAAATTATAAAATTACTACAGTCTGTAATTAAAGAAATTCATAAATAAGGAAAAATACACCACAGGTATGTGTTAATATAAATCATTTATCCCATTGCCCAAACTGGAATCACTTAAGAAATTCAAGGTAGTTTCTCAGAAAGTTGTTTTTCTTGATGTGTATCCTACTGAACTAAAAACTACATACTAGGGTAAATATTTTCATGGTCTTATATTTTTTTGGATCAACCTTAGAAAAATCACAACTGTCATTAAATACTTGCCTACCTAAGAAGGATTGATTAATATTTCTCTTGAAGTTTTATGATTCCTCTTTAGTGATAGAGACAAAAGGTCATAAGCTATAACAGCACTTAAATAGGAATGTAGGACATTTCAGAGGAGAAAAATCAACTGCTGAAATTACTACATAGGAAGAGGGCCAGCGTCCACCACTGTGCCGGGTGTAGCATAAGTATTGAGTAAATACTTCTGAACAGCTGAGATAAGACAGAGTGAAGACATGTACAGGGAGAAATCAATTAGATTTTAAAACCTTTATTGTATTCCAGATACTGGCATCGATCCCTAAACCCCAGAAAATTGGTAGAAGTGAAGTTTTCTCACTTGAGTAGAAATATGACATTACAGAGAACAATGAAGCTTTACAGACTGCCGGATGTAAGTAAGAATGATCTGCAGTTTTTTGAAGCTGTAACAACCAAAGCTTTTAATGCAGAAAAGCATTTTTTTGCAGCCGTCTAAAAACGGATTCATGGCTCTGAGGAAAGGAATATGTAGCTAGAAAGACTGGAAAGAACTCAGAAGCTGGGAGAGTAGAGGGTTCATTTAGAAACCCCATTTTGCTTTGCGTTGGGCTTTTTTGTTTTGTTTTGTTGAGACAGGGTCTTGCTACATAGTTCAGGGTGATCTTGAACTCATTATGTAGCCCAAGCTGGTGTCACACTCAGCAGTCTTCCTGTCTCAGCCTCCCAAGTGCTGGAATTACAGGCATGCGCCACCACACTTGGCTTTTGTTTTGTTTTTAAGATTCTTCAAATTCTTCAGTTTATAATTGGAAGAGATTGAATGTAAGAAAAGTAAGTTTTATGTTTTTTGTTTGTTTTGGGTGGGGGGGGGTACCGGGGATCGAATTCAGGTCCCTGTGCTTGTGCAGCAGGCAGCGAAACCACTGAGCTAAATCCTCAGCTCCTAGAAAAATAAGTTTTGAAATTTTCAGTATTGTCTGTTAAGAGAGGGGAAAAGATTAGGCTGCTCCTGATTTCTTACAGAAGTAAGGAGTTGAGTTTAGAGGAGAGATTCAGGGACAAGAAATAATATCTCAGTAAATTACCATCTTTTAAAGCTCTTATACTGCTAATAGGAAAAGCTCTCTGTCTTAAGAGTGAAAAGTTTAAATGTGTTCTCCAGTCTTCGCTTTATTTGTGGCTTGGATGGTATATTATTTATCGCAAAGTGAACAGCTTAAAACACATTTCTTCTTGCCCAGGTTCTGTGGGGCAGGGATGCAGGCACCACCGAGTTGGGTCCCCTGCTTTGGGTGTGGAAAGGAGAGAGCAAAGGAGAAGAAAGGGCAGACATTAAAAACTTGGAAGGTGCTGACAGCAGATGCCAGGAGTCTGCCTGCTGAGTTAAAAGCTGAACACCCCAGCAATACGAGACACCACAGTCCCTCCTGTGAGCCCCGATGAGTGAAGCCACTGCTAGCCATCAAATCATTAGCGAGGAGTTTCCTACCATTCAGCATGAAAAGAACCTGGTTGAATATAACTTTTCTCTATGGCTCAGTCTCATTTTCTGATTCATTATTACTGTTTCCACTTTATATCTTCCTTGAGGACTTCTAAATATAGGAGTTAACATTTATTGGGGCTGGCATCACACTGAACTTTTAACACCCATAATCTGATTTACTGTCCCTAATAGTCAGGAAAGGGCAGACTGTTAGTCCCACCACACAGAAGGACGTTGAAACACAAGGATGACACATCGAGTCTGTAGGTAGGGTCAGACCTACCGTGCCACACTGTTAGCTGCTGGTCTCTAAACTAGTAGGTTTTCCCAGAGCACATCTTCCCATGTCTCCCTATCCTTCAGTGTTTTTGTACTTTTTTAGTTGGAGTTGAGTATTTCCAAACAAAGTTGGACTTTGTGTGTGTAAGTGACCTAAAAGGTAAAGGAGTGTGAAGTAGATAAAAAGCAGGGATCAGATTAGTCTACCAGTGTCCTAGGTTTGTGCTGCAAGAAGGGTCTGCTTACCCAGACAGGCCCTGAGATATGTTAGCTAATCTGTGTTCAGCAGCATTAGATATTTTTGTGTTCAGCATATATTGCTGTTCCTTTTTAAATCATGTAAATAACTGTAAACAGTGCTTGCTTCTCTGCTGTGGAATCTGGGCTCTCACACCATATAGCTTGACAGTTGTTTTACTCAGTCTTTGGAGCTAATTTCCTTATACATTTAAAGCAGACTTTTCAATATACCTAGAGTGCAGCAAGTAATGAACGTGGATTAGGTCCTGGGAAGTACATATGATTCAGATTATAATTTGCTTATGAAACATAAAATTTTCTGTTACAGGAAATGTTTGGTTTTCATTTAATTCTTACAAACATGATGCTTCACCCTATCTAGTTATACTAAACCTTAGTTTTTATCAAAGCTTAAGTTTCTACTTCTTCCGGAAGACAACAGCTATAGTTTTTGTCACATTTTGACATTGGTTTCATTCTTCCATAGATTTTTTTTTTTTTTTTTAGCCATTGCCTGCCAGCAAAAGTGAGTATTTTCCCACATTTCTAGGTCCTTAATTTTGTTTTTAATAGCTGATACATGCTGGTGTTCTTTTTTGGTTTAGTGCTCCTGTAAACACTTGTTTGAAATGTTTGTAAATTCCCAAGTTAATGATACTTTCTACCTGTTTGGCCAAACAGGTTTCACGGAGTCTCCCTCATCTAAATCCTGCTGCCTATCTTTCTGACCTTCTGAGACCTAAAATTGCAGTTCTCAAAGTATGGCCCAAGCACCCCTGAAAGCTCCTAAGGTCTTTGAATCTGTGAAGTCAACAATATTTCCATAATAACACTAAAATATAATTTGCATATTTCACTTCGTCCTCGTAGGAGTGTACTGAACAGTCTCCCAGAGGCTGTGGAGGTGTACTTGTGTGTTCTTTTGTTTTTAAATGTTCTTAGTTTCATTTCTAATACTATAAGGATAGACATGTAGACCTACATGAGGAAAGCTCTTAGAGTACTCAATCATTAAGACTGTTGAGGGTTGGGAGGCTGAAACATCTAAGAACCCTTGCTGTAAGGATGTCCACTGGACAGCAGGGAGTGGTGGCTTAGGCCTGTAACCCCAGGACCCAGAGGAAGAGGATTGCAGCCTCAAGCCCATTCTGGGTAACACAGTGATTCAGCAGGACCTTGTCTCAAAAAGAAAGAGGGTGTCCACTGGGCTGGGCAAACGGCATGTTTAGGGTGATTTCACAGTGTGAATACTTAGTGAGTGAGAATTGTGCTTCAGAAAATATCTGCTTTAGATAGAATTTGGCAAACTTTCTCATTTCTGAATGTTCTCCATTAACAGATAGCAAATGTCCTGCTGTTTTTATTCATCTAATTGCTTGATATTATTGTTTCTGAACCAGTAACGAAAAAAAATGTTATTTGATCAAGCAGAATCTGCCTCATTGCAGAAGATAATTTATAAATGCTTACAGAATGCTTGTACATGTATATTTTGTGTGGTTTTGGTCATTTTATTAGGATTTTTAAATGCATATTTATTTATTTCCAACTGGGAACTAACTATTGTTGAGTCAGTTTTGGGGTTTTTTTTGTTTGTTTGTTTGTTTTTTGCAATACCAGGGATCGAACTCAGGACCTTGCACTTGCAAGGCAGGCGCAGCGCCACTGAGCTGAATCCCAGCCCGTGACTCAGTTTTGAGAGCCACAAAAAGACTAAAAGCGCTGTTTGAGTTACCTGTGAAATGTTACGGACACAGGTTCTCTTAATTTAGATTAAATGGCATGTTAGCTTTGGTACTATATCATTATAAATTACATAATTGGGCCGGGGATGTAGCTCAGTGGCACTGTGCCTGCCTGGCAAGTGCAAGGTCCTGAGTTCGATCCCCAGTACCAAAAAAAATAAATAAATAAATTACATAATCATCATTGAAAGGTCCCCAGTGAAACAGAACTGTTGGATCTGTAAATATAAAGCATGTGTCCCCTCCCCTACACTGATCATTCATCAGCCCTGAGTCCCCAAACCTTTGTTTTTTGTTTTTTGAGTTTTTTTGGTTCCGGGGATCGAACTCGGGTCCTTGCGCTTGCGCAGCAGGCAGTGAAACCCCGAACCTTTGAAACCTCAGCATAGGTACCCACAGTTGATCAGAGCTAGCACTCCAGATAAACACCTGTTTTCTACCATGGACTTTTATGTAGGGGCCTGCAGGGGATTATGATTTAATTCTACAGAAGGTTTTAAAATATATTTATAAATCATTGAGGGCAGGAAAAGTACAGTAGCAATATTTATATGTTATTTATCTCCAAAAATGTATTCAGTATTTTTCCAAGGTGATAAAAATACCAAGTTTATAGCAAAAAACCACTACATTTGTTTTTAATTTTGGTTTGTTGGGCTTCTTCACATCCAGTCTGAAGTTTCCTGATGCTGGACAGATGTACTGAGCCAAAGTGATGTCAGGAGCATTTGAGCATTTCTCAAGCAGTTGAGAAAATTCAAATGGGGACCTGTCCTGACCTGTAGGCTTTTTATTCCTCTGGCCTTATTTTAAAATATCAAGCTCTGTGGTGGTGATTAAAATGCCTACTCTCATAACCTTTTTTTATCAAAAGATACGTCCCCAAAGCCAAGCTTAGTACTTGGCAGCCAGGCACCTTTAGAGAATACCTGGCTTTTAAATATTTGCCTTTCCATTTTGACCAGCATGATTAACTCTATTATTTTTGTTCAAGAGAACAAAATCACAACATCTTTTTCATAGACAAAATAAGTTTCTCAGCTGTGACTTCAAAATGTCACATTTGGTAGTTTAAAGCAAATCTCCAGAAGTCGTGCAGTTGTGCATGCCTTATCATATCAAGATCATAAAATTCTTGGCATTGATATATAAATCAACTTGTAATGTTCCCTTTGATTTCTTTGGGTCATGGGCAAGACCTGCTTCTGAAGAGAACCCAGGATGCATTGTCTAGCATGTTTTAAACCATTGCTTCTCCAACTTTAATTGGTATACAGGTCAGCAGGGAAGCTTGCTAAGTTGCAGATACTGGTTCATGAGGTTTGGGGCAGGGCTCAGATTCTGCAGTTTAATAAGCTCCTATGTAATGCTGATCCAGAGAGTCTGCAGAACACAGTTTGAGCAAAAAGTAGTTTTATTCCTCTTATGTTTAAACTTCTTGGTTTGTTTTATTTTCCCTCTAACAAGGTTACAAAGACCTCAGGCTTGAGACCGATGGAACCAAAAGATATCAAAGCAGTTCAAGAATTAATCAACAGTTACCTGAAGCAGTTCCATCTGGCTCCAGTGATGGATGAAGAGGAAGTGGCCCACTGGTTCCTTCCTCGGGAGCATATCATTGACACATTTGTAGTAGAGGTAAAGATAAAGCAATAATACTGAAAAGGACGGAAACACTTCCTTTCCAGGAAGACAGTAAAGTGCCAGTGTCTTTCCTCTTCCCCCACGAGGTGGAGAAGCCACATCTTTTTACAGTTTCTACTCTTGGACACAAATGGGGTTTTTTTCCCTTCATCACTGGGGATTGAGTCCAGGATCTTCACACTGAGCCCTATTCCTCCCTCTTTGTTTTTTGAGATAGGATTTTGCTAAGTTGCTAAGCTACTCAGGCTGGGCTCAAACCTGGAATCCTAGCTCAGCCTCCCAGAGTTCACCTCTCAGCCTGCAAGAGTTCACCACCACACCTGGCTTAAAGCTTTTTTTTTTAAAACAAAATCTGGAATTTGTTAAGATGATATCTCACTTGGAGGCTCAGGAGGGATTGAGTTGAGAAGTTGAGGTTTAATGTAGTAAATACTTGAAAGAGAGAAGTGGAATGGGCCAGTTGGAAGCAACCCTAGTGGTCTGTTGACAGCAGTTCCACACAGAAGTCTTTACTCAGCACTGGGACGGGAGATCTCAGGCCCAGATTGGGCAGTAATGGAGGAAGCCAAGGCAGGGGCAGGCAGGACATTTCTGAAGAACTGAGCAATCTAAATTTTTATTTCTAAAACAATGCAGGAGCAGCCATCTTGGTACACAGACCTGCATGTAGCTGGTCTGCAGCGCTTAAATGTTTTCATCACAGGTCTCCTTCACTTTCTGACAAACTATCTATAAATACTTACCATATTCAAAATTTTAAATTCTGGTATTTGTTATTTTATGTTTTAATGATACAACAATGGTAAATCCATTACATGTTACTTAAAAGTATTACATGTATTTTAAATGAAAAATATCTCCCAAACCACAAAATTAGTGAATCATCTTAAATTTTTGCAAATCTCATTAATGTCCGATTTAATAGAAGACAACTCATTATCTATTTCTACTTTCACTCTATTGTAATGGTTAAAGTATGTGAAGAAAATATTTTGCATGAATTATTGAAGATTTGAAAATTAATGTTTCAGAAACCTTTTCAGATAATTATTTATACTTTCTTATCCAAAATCATGTCAGTGAATTTCCTTACTCTCTATGAAAATCCACTGGTGCTGTTTGCTTGTTTCGGTTTTCTGAGATGGGGTCTCGCTATGGAGCCCAGGCTGGCCTCAAACTCTCGGTGATCTCCTCCCTCAGCCTCCCAAGTGCTGGGATTTCAGGGGTGTACCGCCACGCCCGGCCACTGGCCTGGCTTGTGCTTTGTTTCTTTTCTTTTTTCTTTATGGTCCTGGGCATTGAACCAAGGGCCTCACACCTGGTAAGCAAGTGCTCGATCACTGAGGAATGTCTTGTCCTTTGAATGACACTTTTACTTGTGTATGAGTTTAGAACATCAAGTATTGGTCATCTGGAAAATGCTTTCTTTGAATTATAGAAGTCTTTCAAATACTGACATTTCAGTATGTGATATCAAAGAATCACATGCATGGGTATCACTTTTGTCACAGAGAAGTCTATAGTGTAGCTCACGGTAAAGGATGCAGAAATCTCATGTTTTATCCATGGCAACAAATCCTGCCAGTTTTTCCCTGGAAGTAACAGGCTCATAGCTCATGTCATTCATTTCCAAGAAAATGTGATGAATGTAGACTCTGAATGACCACAGGTTGGCAGCCCTGGGTGAAGGCGTGCTCATTCCCTGGAATAACGGCTGGCTAGCTCACCACACATGCACCTTTCATGGGAGAAAGCAGCCTTCTAGCCCTTAGTGCTCCGATGTCTGCAAACCCAGGGCACCTGCTTTTATCACTGACTGATAAGCACAGAGAACTGACTCCTTACTTGGCCTAGGAAACATCCCTTTCAGCATAGTCTGCTTTCTGGGAGCTTTATGCAAATCGCCAACAAGCACTTTGGCAAAAGTTCCAGCTCTGCTCTTTTCTGGCCTCCACCTCCCTTAATAGAGTGTGCTCAAACTGAGCCCTCAAGAAGGAAGTCTCACTTGTTTTTTGTGTGACAGGAAGTTATGCTGCGAGGCAGAGATCACAGTTAGCTGCCTGCAGTATTTTCAGGGAGACCCTTACGGATGTCACCTTCACCCCTCAGAGCTCCAGTGGAAAGCTGACTGACTTCCTCAGCTTCTACACGCTCCCCTCCACGGTCATGCACCACCCCGCCCATAAGAGCCTCAAAGCTGCCTACTCCTTCTACAATATCCACACGGAGACGCCGCTGCTGGACCTCATGAATGACGCACTCATCATAGCCAAGCTGGTGAGCAGCTCATTCCTGTGTGTGCTGTCTGGTTCTCCACACACGTACACCAGCGGATGTAACAGAGGGGAAGTCTTATTCCATGCAGGTGGAATTCGCCCAGGTCATTCTTTGTTACACTATTGCCAAGTCATTTGTAGAATTTTGCTAAGATTTTCTTTTAAAACTGTTGTGGCTGTTTTCATCATTAATTTTACTGCAACTTCGCAAAACTACATTTTCTATAAATTAAAATTTGTAGTACTAGGGATTAACCCAGGACCTTCACACTGAGTACATCCCCAACATTTATTCCTGTTTTTTTTGGAGACAGGGTCTCACTCAGCTGCCCAGGCTGGGCTTTGATTATGGTCCTCCTGCCTCGGCCTCTCAGTGCTGAGATCACAGGTGTGCACCACCATGCCAGGCTACAAATTAGAAACTTTTTAATGATTACTAGGAATACATAAAACTGATAATCTGAAGAATACAGAAAAAGACCCTATCATAATATAAGAAAAATACATGAGTAAATAATCTGCAGTAAATTCATTAATTCAGGTAGTCACTGAATTTTAAAAGGAATTAAATTCAAAATGTACCTTATTACGTTATTTTTCTGTTTCCTCAGTGTAGAAGTTAGTATACTTATTGAATTATTGCCACAGATAAACATTTTTCCTTTAAAAAGATTTGAGCCAGGTGTGGTGGTGCTCGCCTGTAATCGCAACACTCAGGAGGCTAAGACAGGAGGATTGCCATGAGTTTGAGGCCAGCCTGGGCTTCATAGTGAATTCAAAGTCAGCCTGCACTACAAAGTGAGACCCTGACTCAAAAAAACAAAACAAAAAAGTCTGAATCAGGTGACATACTGTACACTGTGCTGATAAACATTGAATGTGGAAAAATAATTGCTCATGAGAAATTAGAAACAGTACATCAAAAATGTCTTCCATAGGGCCGGGGATTTAGCTCAGTGGTTTCGCCACCTGCCGCACAAACTCAAGAACCTGAGTTCGATCCCCAGTACCAAACAACTGTCTTCCTTGCACTTTTCTCATATTTGATCACTGAAAAGTTTTACAAATCTGTTACTTTTGGTACCGGGGATCGAACTCGGGTCCTTGTGCTTGTGAGGCAGGCGGCGGAACCACTGAGCTAAATCCCCGGCCCAATCTGTAACTTTTGAATCGCCAAATCAACATTATCCTCAGATTTCCTGTTTTCAACTACCATACTTCTTCCACATCATCAGTAAGTTATTTAAGGTAAAAACCTGAGAAGTAAAATTTTATGTGCCTCCTCATCCATATCATATTGTACATAGTATTATTACCAACAATTTAATGATTTAATTTATGTATTTGTCAGCAGGATGGGATTGAGCCCTGGGGCATTGTACTATTGAGCTACATCCCCAGGCCTTTTTGTTTACTTGAGACAAGGTCTTGCTAAGTTTCCTAGGCTAACCTCAAACTTGTCCTACTGGGATTACAGACATGCACCGAGCCTGGCTAAGAAATGTAGGTTTTACCATTAAAACTGAAATTTACTCCCAGTACCAGCCCAAGACAAGGGTGCCATTTAAAGTCTTTGGTTCCTCAGCAGTACCTTCAGCTAAGTCAGGAACTTAGGCCAATAATTAACAACCTGGAAGTGGAACCATCTAGACATCTGTCCCTTCTGAGCCAGGATCACAGTCGTTTCTGAAATCTTATTTGTATGTAAATGCCAGCTATGAGACTACATTTTTTGATTCAGCATTTCTGAAATATCTCGCTGACTTCATCAGATTCACTGGTAGCATTAGAAAACAATTTTGAACTGAATTCCCAACCGGAACTATATGCCATAAACATTAAGCTCCATTGCAAGTTCATATGCAGTCTGTTAGTAGAGGAATTAAGTATTACACTGAAATGTATATTATAGAAGATGCTACAGTCCATTGATGTTTTACATTTTAAATCTCTTTTACATTGGCAGAAAGGATTTGATGTATTCAATGCACTAGATTTGATGGAAAATAAGACCTTCTTGGAAAAACTCAAGTTTGGTGTAGGAGATGGCAATTTGCAGTATTACTTGTACAACTGGAGATGTCCAGGAACAGATTCTGAAAAGGTAAGGAAGTCTTTGTCAAAGCTCCGTCAGCACAGCAGATTTGCTCGGATAGCTCTGTGCCTGCTTCCCTTCAGGCTTTATAAAGAGCATTTGAAACACTCACTCACTGAGTCACATGAGGATTTGATTTTCCTCTGCCTTGAAGTCTTGCTATCATTCTATTTCTTCCCTCCATTTAGGTTGGCCTTGTACTGCAGTAGATGGATCTGCTGATCTCTACAACGCTCACATCCTCAGTTGTTAATATTCTATTTAACAATTCCTGGAACTGCCATTCCAAAGAAAAGTAAAAGCACAAGTGAAACTGAAATAGTAACAATCAGAAAAAAATGAAAAATGCCTGTATGAGCTCTACTACACATTTCTAGCTAGAATGTTAAAATCTGTCCAGATTTTGCTGTTTACCCACTTGTCAGAGGGATGAAAGGGTGCAAAGAGCACATTCCTCTAGTTTTCAAACTTTCAGATCTTTTGGTGAAGGTATTTTGCCACTCTCTAGAAATGGGACTCTTTTTCTATGGACTAAACAGAAGTCACAGCATTGTGTAAGAAAATCTTTGCTGCTTTGTGGGGATAAACTGTTGCACTTCTATTTATTAAATGGTGGTATATTTGTAACAGAACAAAGGGTCCACTTGGAGAACCCTGACATAGAGGATATCTAAGATGGGGCAGTATGAACATGGACAGGGGCCAGTGCATTTATTCCTAAGCAAAGTTGCCAAGCCAGTACATATACAGATTTGTACTTTGGTCTTCAGCAAGTCATAGATCACTTCAAAGGCAAAGTTTTGGGGCAACACTTGAGTGTGCTCTCTCAAACAGCGTAAGGCCCATGACCTGCTACTTGCCCACTGCTGCACCATCTCCAGGATGTCGTCAGCAACACCCAGGAAGGTGAGGGCGAGGAAATAAAAAGCCTAAAGTTAAAACTAATGCCTGGGAAATGTATTAGTGCTGTCAGCACATTGATAGTTCGAATGTTTCATTACTTATGCAAAATTGCACATATTCCTTTATGCTTTTCATTTATCATGAAAACTGTCATGCAAATGGAAAATGTCTTCTTTGTAAATAAGTATTCATAATTTTGTTACTGGTGTTTTTACCTAGAATTTGAAAAACTTTCACTATGTATATATGTGTATATACTCCCAGTAATCAAAGGGAAAATAAGATGCTAAACAAGGCCAAATAGACTGGCCTTAAATACCACAAAATAGATACTTCTTACTGTACCAGTGCCTCACTGTTTAGTCCAGAGTAAATTACTTGTGTTACACAACACGATGGCATTCCCTTCATTTGTTAAGTAGCCCTTTGAAACAAATCATATCAGGGAGAGGCCACCAGAGTATCACCATGGGCTAATTCTGGCCCACTGCCTGTTTTTATACACCCCACAAGCTAAGAATCGGGTTTGTTTGTTTGAATGGGGGAAAACCATCAAAAGAATAAATTATTTGACACATGAAAATTGTACAAATTCCCAGTTTTGGCATCCATGAGTTTTACTGAAACACAGCCACACTTTTGCTCAGGTACTTACTACCTACGGCTTCATGCTGCAAAGGCAAGCTGGGTAGTTGTGACAGACTGACTGGATGGCTCCGAATCGCGGTTTGTGCTAAGGACTGAAAACCAAGGCTGTGGTGCCCGGGACTGCTAGAAGGGACACCTGGGCCCGTGGTCAGGACTAGCACAGTCCTTAGATGTGGTGCACAGCTTTCAGATGATTCAAACCAGGCACACTGCCATTCTTTCCCAACAGGAGAAAGGTCAAGGAGCAAAGCTACTGCTTCGCTGGGACTCTGAGACACCAGCATGAAGTAAAAATGATTTTCACTTAATCCTGAATCACAGCTGAAGTTAGGACTTACATCCCCACTCATTTTTTATGGGACAAAGTCTTGTGTACAGGTTTTCAAACAATTGCAAAATTGCCAGAGATTTTGTCACAAGCTTACCTCATGAGGAAACTGATATACCCATCGCTTACTCATTTACATGTTCTAGCTGTTACAGAATTCATATCACGTAACTGGATCGTTTTAAAATTCTGTAGTTAATAACTACATTGGCCTATTCCTAATTTACTCAGATTACCAGTTAACCTTTTAAAGTAGAAAATCAGCAAAACTGTTTATAAAGTAGCCGTTAGATTAAAAAAAACACAAAACACCTTGTTCTATACTGTCTATAATGGAAATACTTATTTTTTTGGAGAGATGTTCTTGCCATGTAGTTCAGGCTGGCCTTGAACTCAAAGCAGTCCTCCTGCCTCAGCCTCCTGAGTGCTAGGATTACAGGCATGCATTGTCATGCCTGGCTATTGTGTAAGACATCCTGCCTTTTAAAAATCCTAAACTGTGTGTTGTACACATCAAACAGAGCATCTATGCTGGGTCCTAATCTTAAGAACCTAACATCACCTAAATCCACATCAGAGAATCCACGATCCTGTTGTTTTAGTCCACTTGCCACACTTTACCTAACTACCATCATCATATTGTTTGTGGTTTATTTGGTGCCAGAAGTCAAATCCAGAAGCGCATGCTAAGCACGTGCTCTACCACTGACCTTCACCCCCAGCTCCCATCATGCTCTCTATGTATGTCAAATTTCCAAGAAAGTAAAGTACCTATATACAGAGCGAGTTCTAATTAAAATATCATCTCTGTCCATAGCAAGCCTTTCTCACAAGCCCACAACTATACCTACCTATAATGAAAGCCAAATCAACATAAAGTGAAAAAGTGATTGCTTCTGAGGACAGTGTACTACTTGCATTTAGTATCTTTCCTTTAAAACTGATACTGCTTCTCCAGTTGTTTCACTGACACTACTAACCAGAACCATGTCTACTGTGACTCATTTTCCAAGTTTGGTAGAAAAACGTTAAGTGTTGTAGCATTCAGATGTTCTTGCTAACAAGCAGTGTACCAGCCTCTAAGACAGTGAATTTACAAGAGCATGGATATTAGTTTCAATAAACATTTCTTTTAATACTCACTTTAATTTTTTCTGAACTTAGTGTATTTAAGCTTCAGTACATTTGTGCCACACAGTTACAAAGACTTGTATTACACATCTGAAAAGAACATTACCACACAGGATCCCAAGAATATATGTAAATGTAGCTCACTTTAAGGCTTCTTTACATGGTGTCCTTTTACAAATTGCATAAAATGACAAATTTCTCCAAGATTACTTCAAAATTGTTTTCTTACTTTTGGGTGGTTTCCTGATCTTATTAGGGTTGGGAATCAGTTTCTTTATTTTAAGCGGTTGTAAGGCTACAGCAGAACCTAGCCTCCCTTCAACAAGTTTTCTCTTATGTTTTGAGGGGTCTTCACATGAAGTTTCCAGAACCTCTTTGTCTTGGTCATCCAAAGATTCAGTCTCTCTGTCTTCTCCAGAATCTTTGATTCTCTCCTGAAACCATGGTACATTTAAACTGGGCACTCGAGGAATGATAGCTCTTACTTCGTCTGCAAAGTCTGAGGTGCCCTTTCTGAACCCCAAGGCTAGCACACATTTTAAGCCAATGACAGGGGCAATTCTCTCACTGAGCCGGGGAACCTGACAGGCAGGGACTGACCTGCTTAAGCTGAGCTGGATCAAGTGCGAGGTGATGATAGCAGGCTTTGCTGACTTACACACAAGAGCTAAGAGCAGATCGCTGCTCTCCAGGGCCCTGGTCACCTCGTTAATACCGATGGCGAGCTGCCTCCTGACGTGCACGGGTGTCCACCCTGACACCTGCCGCTTGGCATCAGGCTTTTCCTCCATTAGGTCCTCAGTCATACCAGCATCCAGGCTGCATTTTTCTCTGCCTTGCTTTTGTGTAAGAGGTGGCCTTTTCCTTTTCTTTTTATCCTCTATTTTCTGAAGTCCAGTAGATTTGAACCTGTCCTCAAGTGTCTGTAATATGAAGTGCATGTCCTCTCTCTCCAGGGTGCTCCAGCAGATGACGTATGGGTTGCTCAATGACGTCTTCACAGTCAGAGGTCTTGTCTTACGAACAGAACCCCTTCCTGGTGCTTGAGGAGCAGCAGCCATTTTGAAAACCCTTCAGAGAAGCAAAATAATAATGGAACATTCATGTTAGCCAGAAACGTCCTATTTATGATAAGCTATAGCAAACCTGATTACAGAGGCCCAGTCAGGTAACCAAGCACCACTTGATCTCTTTTAAGATGAAGTAATTTTGTCCCCAGTACCAAAAAAAAAAAAAAAAGATTAAGTAATTTTGGTTTGCCCAGCATGTGCAAGGCCCTAGGTTTGACCCTAGTAATGCAAAAAAGGAAAACGAAAGATGATTGTTATTTTAATTTTCCTCATTTTTTCATGTAAATTTATATTTCTACATATATAGGCAATATGGAAAGTTTTAGATTACTGCATCAATCATAATGAAATTGCTTATTTGTTCACTTATTTGTTTTCCATTTCAGGGATGCAGGTGTAATTCAGTGGCAGAGAGCTTGCCTGGCATGCATGAGGGCCTGGGTTTGCTCCCTAGCACTGCAGGAAAAAAAGTCCAGTTTACTTTAGTGACTATATGGTTTAATCTTACAGATTTCTTAGCATTTACAAAACTGTTGTCTAGCTGTGCTTCCATTCATTCAGCAAATACTTTCTGTCCACCTTCAGCAGCAGATGGTGTTCTGGTTATTAAGGCTTGTGGTGAACAAGACTGTGGGCATCTACAGAAACTGCCATCTTTAAGAGCCCGAGACCTCTGCAGTGATTAACCAACCAGGTTTCATTTTAAAATTGAAAACGGCAGTCTATGATTCAAATTTCAAGTAACACTTTCACTCCATCTGTTTGGAAGTTTCACTCACTATTTGGCCCCTATGTTTCCTGTGTATCCTTTCTAAAATATTTGATACACATCAGCCATATATGGCCCTCTTCTCATGGTTATTCCAGGCTGATTGGCACTTTCATGAAAACTGGGAAATCTAATGAAATTTAAAGATGCTGGTTCATTAAGGAGAAAGACAAGGGCTTCTACAAGGGCTTCTGGTTGGGCAAATGTTATAAACCACTTGTCTAGAAAACATATCCTGTTTCTCCCTCCCAGAGGTAACTGCATATTCTCTTTCTCCTCAGTTTTCTTCCTCCCCTTCCTGGGGCTCAACTGAAAATCACAGGGAATCACTTGGCCAAAGTAAAGGAAATAGCCCCCCCCCCTCCAATTAAAAGGTGCATGTACAAGGCAGGCAGTGTGTCCAAATGTATTAAAACACTTTCTCTGTGTATTATTTCATTCTCGCAGTAGTCATGTAGAATTCTTGAATGGGTGAATGAGGAAACGGATTCACTGTTCAAAGTCATAGCTAGTTTTTCTAAATTTTCTGTTCTTTCAATCCCGGCTTCACCTCAAAAGTAACTGGTAGCTTTAAAAAATACCCAGATGGTTCTTACCACACATCTACTGAATTGGAATTTCTGAGAGTATGGCCCATGATACAGAACAAAATTAGGGACTGCTGGTATGAGACAGACATCCTTTCTGACCTGGACAACCCTGTGGAATAGTCTCCTAACACCTCGTTTCTGATATTCTTCCTGGTGACCATCCCACAGAAAACCAAAATTGTTGGGGTGATACATGAAACCCTGGTCATGTCAGCACGGGCCTTCTACCTATCTGTTGCCCAAGCTGCTCCCTCTGTGGCAGCCACACTGGGCACTCTCCCCACGCCCCACTATCTCTATACTGCCCTCAAATTCAGGGAACTGGAAAGAAAATAGCACATCCCCATCCAACAAAGTGATTGCTAGCAGTTGGCACTGGGTTACAAGTGGTTGGGAAGAGGGAAATGAATGAGCAAAAACCCCCTGCCAGTCATATACTGTGTCTGAGCATCACATTTACAATTTTGTACTCTGTGGCCAAGGGATAGCAAGGTAGGCATTAACTCCTCTAGTCTGCACAAATCCAGTAGGAGAAATGAAGAGTGAAGTAGTTCACCAAAGGAGAATCTCATGCAATATAATCCCTCCCAAAATACTGACAATAGCTTCAGGGGGAGAGAAACAGGAAGGGCTTACCAAGACGCCTCGAGCTATTAATGGCTGGGGGCTTTTGCTGCCTCTAAGATCAGGTGCAAACTGTAAGGTGACTGATATTCAAGGCCCTGCACAAGCTGGCCGCCTCCTACTCACCTCTTCTTCCTCCTACCCTACACCATGCATACAACTACCCTACACCCAACTCTGAACCCATACTATTTATAATGGGGCCATTTCTTAGCCTCCTTGTCTTCATACACACTATTCCTTCTGCCTCAGTAACCTTCCCATCCTTACTCCCATGACCTTCTTCAGCAAATAATTGATTGCTCATGATGCACTGTCCATAAAACGTTAAAAAAGCAAAAACTATCCCTGGTATCAGCTTGGAGTTTAGGAAGAATTATCAGCATAAAAAGAAAGCGCTGCAAACCAAGCTCGAGCTATCAGTACAGGATCCTTAGAAAACTGTAACAGGGAGTGAGCTTCGTGGAGGAAGTGACTTCCTAACCTGCATCTGAAGAGCTCTTACCAAAGGGAGTACGACACGGGCGAACGGTACCCGGGAAACGAAGTTCAACGTGCCTAAGGCAGGAGTGGGGAGACAACCGGAAGGGAAGCACCAGATGGTGAGGACTCGAAGCAACCACCGTAGGGAAGCGACGGTGACATCTAAGGCACAGGAGAGGCTGGGGCAGAGCACAGGGTGGTAAAGCGTGAAGCACAAGCTTTATAGAGAGACCTTGCGGACTCCGGGCAAAGGAAATGTTTTCTGCCAGGCAGGAGCCGCAAAGGCTCCCGATCGTCCCTGTGAGGAAGGCCGGCGCCGGAGAGGAGGCGATCGGCCGACCTGGTCCGCCAGGAGGCCCGGGGAGAGCCGCTCCTCCGGCCGCGCCCGACTCAGGGCTGCCCACCCACCGCCTGCTGCCCGCCCGCTGCACTAGCGGCGTCCGCGCACTCCCCTCCCCGTACCCGACCCGAACCGAACCTTGACGCCGGACCCGCGCCCCAACTGCCCGCACGGTCCGACTCCCAGGTTTCCGCGGGCGTCAGCGCCGATTCAAAGTGCGCTTGCGCCGCGCGTGCGCAGAGCCTTCGCTTCGGGTCCCCTTCTTCCAAACGCGGAGGGCGGGGCGGAGTCGCTCGGAGCGCTTCTCGTCTCCTTGTTCTACTTTAGGTCATTCCTGTCGCGAGCAGGTACCGTGGGTAAAGAGGACTCGGACTCGGATAGCAATTCACACACTTATCTTGTATTATTATAATTCGTTTCAATACAATTACCACGTCCCTGTACCTGTACTGCGCAAGTCCTTAATGGGAGCGCGACGTTTCCTCCCGCAGGGTCAGAGGGTCCGATCCGTAGACGAAGGGCGTCGAGTCGGCGCTAGGCTATCCGCCTCTCGGCTTTCCTCGTCCTCTGGTCTCGTCTGGTCGGCGGCGATGCTCCTCCCAGCGGGATCAGGTGTGCAGATGTCTCGGTCGGTAGTCAGATCATCAGATTGACTGGTCGACTGGCCGGTGGGACGGATCGTCGACTTGCTTGGGGTCTTCAGCTCCTTTTATACTATTCTATCTGGGCGTTCGTGGTATTGGTTCAGACTTATCACACTGTCCAACTTGGGGCACACTCTGCCCAATTCGGGGTACGCCCTGTCCAGTTCGGGCTACACCCTTATCAGTTCCATACCACTTAAGGTTCTACTTTCATATCTTATGGTTACATATCACTCTTACGATTGTATTATACTTAGGTTACAGCACTCTTAAAGTCACAGCACACTTTAGGGTTACAGCACACTTAGGGTTATACAATTCCATCTTATTCCAAGGTGTTCTCCACAATTCCCTATGGAGGTAGTTGGCCCACAGCGTTGCCCAGAACAGACCAGGCAAAGCCTCGGTCTTTAAAATCCTTGAATGAAGGGCTCGAAGTGGAGGTTTCAGTTCCTAAAGTTGCAGTGCACAGGCGCAAGACCTGTCTCGCGAGAACCTGCGGTTGCACGGTAACGGCTGGAAACCTCGCGGGTCTGATAGTCTGCAGTCCCGCCACCAGCCGTTTGGAGGTTGGGTCGGACCAGCCCTCTCTGCTTCTCTGTTTCTCTCCTTATGTGTCGATCTAGGAACGCAAAATCCAAGGCCGTGTCCCAGTGGCAGCATGTCTACTGAGTCCTCAGCTGTGTCGTGAAAATCAAATACATGAGACAGAGAGGTTAGATAGGAAGTTGGGTAGAACGCGTACTTCTAGGAACTATACAGGGACTCCTGAGCGCAACCAGCCGAAGACGAGTAAGGGTTGCTCTGAAATATTCCATCTGCTCTAGGTATCCAGCTCTGGGCGCCCCTGGGAAGTCGTCTTCGCTTGCAGGGTCAGGACTCGATCTGTTGATCCACGCTTAGCAGGAGCTTCGCGGGCTGGAGGCCGCTTCTCGCTTACCCGACTCCTTCTTTTCACTTCTCCAGTCCAATGTGGGGGTCTTCTTTTTTCTTCTCCATGTCTTCCTCCTTTTCTCAGTCTCTTCACTGATCGTTTTCTTTCCCATTTTGGGGTCTAGTTTCTGTATTTTCAATTTTCATCCCCTACGTGGTACCTACCTGGTCATAAAGTAAAAAGTGTTGCTTTTGGTCAGTGATTATTGCAGGTTACACAAAGTAAAGTAGAATGTGATTTTTATCACAATTAGATGAGAAAGAATACGGTTACAATGAATTTATCAACAGGCTTCTGTTTTATACAATGAATCATGAGTTCAACGATGAACTGTGAACATGCAGTTCTAAAGGCAAAAACTCACGGTTCTAATTATAATACTAGGGTACTGGGGAGGAAATTTGTGTAAATTTTTGTTTCTCCTAAGTTTCCTGACCTTGCCTTTTCGCTAGAGATTGATACTCCTTACAGTGCGTGGCTCTGGAGTCAGACTGTCCAGTTGAGATCACAGCTTCATCACCGGCGGACATATGACCCTAGCAAGTTAATTAAGCTTCCTACTGAAGTAATAAAAACAGTTCCTGTTTTGAGGATTAGAAGAGATGATCTCTTTAAGATGCTTAGCACAGTGCCTGGCACACATAGTAAATGCTTGGTAAACTGTGATGATTCCAATGACAATCCTGGCAGAATTAAGCTAATAAAATTAAATAAACTTTCTGTGATTTCAGTGCTTGTATTTTTAAACTAGCAATATAATTTCCACAAGAATTTTGCTAAAACGAACACCTGCTTTTCAAAGGTAATTACTCTTCCATTCGTGTTACACAAACATTGCAACAAAAAAATTCTAAAAGTCATTCATGATCTGATCGCCTCCAAACATGTTTCTTTTCAGTTCCCTCATGTTTCACACGTGTGCATGCTAAAAATAATAACATTTTGTGTTCTGATTTTTTTCATATAAATTTTCCCATGTTTCTCATAGTCTTCCAAGGATCATTTTAACATTCTATACCAAATGATCAGTTTTACTTTTTAATGACAGGTATTAGTTATTTTACTGTAAAATAACAGTAAGGTCTTTGAATAACTTACAAATCTTAAAGCTTTCTTTTCATATTCTATAATTGGACTATTTTTAGATTACATGCTTACCATGATATAAAGCAGTTTAAGATTCTGGATGATAATTCATCATTAGCTGCAATCCTTTGGTGAAATAAACAGAAGTTCCAACAAGAAAGACAAGAATGTAGAAGATTCTTTCTTCCCTCCACGCATTCTGACCTTTGCTGAGTGTTTTTGTTATATATATCAACAACAATGGTTATGTGAACAGCAATCAGTGTTTTCAACCAGTTGCTAAGAACAGACCTGAATGATGAGGTGCAAAATTAGAGAATAAGCTTTAGGTCTGTGCTGCTGGAGGCTCTGCTGACTGGAGTATGTAAGAGCTCAAGGAGCATCTGTGTGATGAAGGCAGCGGGAACAGGAGTTTCAAGCAGTCAAGCAATTCCTTGGTGGCAGCACAGTGGCAGTGCCACACTTGTATGGATAAAGCCAATGAGGGGGACAAGAACCTAAGTGGATCTGACCCAAACCAAAACAAGACCAAGCCCAATGTGGTTTCTGCTCCCTGCACCCTTAGTTCTCTGGGCCAGCACCCCTGATTCCAGGTGTCTGGTAACAGGTGAGTGGCGAGTCACTGAGGAGCAAGTTCTGAACTTCAGCATGCAGTTGGACAGACAACACAGGAGCCTGCTGAGCATGCCTGGGCAAAGAGGCTGGGGAAGTGGAGATCCCTAGTCTCAGCCAACACTACAGATGTGCACGAGAAGCACCCTGACAGTCGCCCATAGGAAACAGAGTCCCTGACCCAGGAGAAATTGGAGGGTATTTGAAACTCAGGTCAGTCTGCAGTCAGGCCTTGCCTTTGTGGCTGTGTGGAAGGGCTTTGGCTGTGCTGTTCTACTGAAAAAGACAAATTTGAAAGACTATTTTAAATCAGATGATAACTAACCTTAGTCTGAGATGTTCCCTAATAGAATTTTTTAAGAGCAGTTTTAGATACACAGTAAATTTTTTTTGAGGTAAGAGGTCTTATTTAACAGGCTCTAAAATTTTTAGAAAAATAATTTGAGATGAAGTTATGTTGCAATTGAATGTCACACAAAAATTTGTACACAATGTTCACAACCGCACTATTCATAACAGCTAAGTAGACTCAAATGCCTATCAATTTAAAAAAGAACAAAATACGGCATATCATTCAATAAAATAGTATTTAGTAATAGAAAAGAATAAAATTCTGATCCTAAAAATAGAAAAAAAAGTTCGTTATTTTGTACAGACTGCCCTCAAACCCCAGGGTTTAAGAAATGCTCCTGGGACGTAGCAACTGCGGTCGGACCTAGAAGAGCGCGGTGGTTCTCTGAGGCGGGTGGGAGCGTGTCCAGGCATGGTCTCGCGTACCATCCCTCCGCTTGTGCAGCTGTGACAGTCGTGGCCTGGAGACGCCTCAGAGACTTGTCTGGGTCTCCCCCCAGGGTGGGACGCAGCTCCACACCCGAACCCCTCCTACCAGCCAGGATCCAGTCCAGGAGGCAGCAGGTGGGGAAAGACGAGGCCAGTACCAGCAGTGAAGGAGGCCGGAAAAGGTTCCTTTAGGCTAAATAAAATTAAAATTTAAAAAAAAGAAAAGAAATGCACCTGTCTCAGCCTCCCAAATACCTGAGACTATGGAGAAGTGACGCCACACAGGCTGTGTGTGTGTGTGTGTGTGTGTGTGTGCGCGCGCGCGCGCGCGCGCGCGCAGACTCTTCAGAAGCAATATAAGCAGAATTAGTTGAGAAGTCTTCAAAGATAGAAATGTGAACAGATGTCTATGTACCTATCAGGTGAAAACATAACATTCAACTTTGTTAGTGCAGCAATAGTTATTGCGCATCTTCTGCGTGTCAGGCAGTTTCTCCCAGGTATATCCAAAGCAAACTCCATCTGGGCACCTGTGCGGGTCTGCGATACGTGATGATGGCAGTGATGCGACCCCAGCCACTTCCTCTGACACCAGGCATGGCTGAGCTTCTGCGAATTCAAGTTCATACACACACATCTGTGTTTCAGTTTGCCAAAGCGACCTGAGTGAACTTGAAAAGCAGAGACGGAGGAGCGGCACTAAAATCTCATGTGAGGACTGCACAGACACTGACAAAGGACAGGAAGCCTGGTGCAGCTGCACAAAGCCTGTAATCCCATACTCAAGAGGCTGAGGCAGGAAGACCTTAAGTTCAAGGCCAGCCTGGGCAACTTAGACCATCTCAAAAAGAAAAACAAAAGGAGCTGGGCATGTAGCTCATTGTTCACCAAGTTCAATCCCCAGTGAGCCCCCAAAGACTGTGGGGGACATCAAGCTGCACCTCTTACACTGGACATGGTGAATGAACAATGCCTCGCTCACAGTAAGCACTCAACAAATAATGAATGAATGAATGCATGCATGAGGAAGATGAAAGGGAATCAGGAGAATCAGAGGGCTTCCCTCAGTGTGGTGGCACCAGCCTGTAACCCCAGTACTCATGATGCCGAGGCAGGAGGCTCTCCAGTTTGAGGCCAGCCTGGGCTATGTAACAAGACTGTCTCCCCTATCTGAAAAAACAAAACAAAAAACCCAAAGAACAAAAGGGCCTCAAAACTAAAGGTAGAGCTTTATTAAACTGGCAGGAGGTTCATACGTGTGCTTTTTACATTTCTAGTTTTACACAGATAAGCATCTATGGGATTCATCTATAATCTGTATTTAATAAAGTGGTTTTCACACAAGGCACGGCACGGTGTGTCCTAGGGCACCAGGCAGCGGAGGCGCACTGCCCCGGTATACCATTACCAGCGATCGGTGCTATCAGGTTTCCACCTCCTCCACGCGCGTCCTAGGGCCTCTGCGCCACGCAGACCCTCCGCGGGGGCCCGCCCTCCCGGCCCGCGCGCCCCGCCCCGAGCGAGTCCCTGCCGCCACCTCTCTGTCTTTACCTGAAAACTCAGTCATTTCCGCTCAAAAACACTTCCGGAGGAAGGAAAAACGAGATCCACTCGAACAAGCAGCGAACACGCGCAGCGCGGCTTCCGCGCCGCGGGAGCAAGCGGAGCCGGGCCCGTGCGCCGACGAGAAACCCAGCTGCGAGCGCGAAACCCAGCTGCGCCCGCGCGCACAACCCCTACACCCTCGCCCGACCGCGTCCCGACCACACCCGGAGCGTCCCGGCCTCCAGACGCCGGGCCTAGAGTGCAGCCAATGGGAGTGGCCGTCTGGGGGCCTGGCCCTGTAAGGAGCGTCCGGCTAGCGGCCCGGGACTGAGCTCCGAGGTCGCGGGCGCTGCAGGGCCAGCTGGGGAGGGCGGCCGGGCAGCGCGGTGCTCCGGGGCCAGGGAGGCGGCACCTGGCCGGCGAGGTCCCCAGCGGCCGAGTCCTGGGAAGCCCCGGGGGTGAGTGCGGTTTCTTTGATGTGTTAGAATGGGAAACTTGGGGAAAGAGAGCAAATACACAAGAATGAGAAGCGTCGGAAATTCTTTCGCCGGGCGGTGGGTGCTGGGCACGGATGCCTCCCTGTGCGTGTGCGATTCTCGGTGCTCGGCGCAGCGCGCCCCAGGTGTCGTGTGCTTGCGTCCGTCACCACTTAGCAGCGTCTTAGGAGCGCTTTCCCGTCAAGGGTGCTTCCGAAACGGCATCTCTCAGTGCGGTAACTTTTTCAGAGAGCATAGGTAACGTCCTCGGCCGCGTCTTCGCCGAGACTCTTCCCCCGCGGCGCAGAGGGCGCTGGAGCAGCCCGGGCGCGCCGCACCGGCCCGGAAGCTGTTCGCTATCTTTTTCTTGTGTTTGACTTACTTCATGCACGTCGAACTTTTCCTAAAATTTTCTTCAAATCAGATCTGAATGGTTCCCTTTCAGCTTAGTACTTTGGTTTCATCGTTGTTCTTAGGGTTCTTGTCTTGTTGTTGTTTGTTTAGTTTTTGCTTTAAAAATATTTTCAGTGAGGATTTAAAGATTGAGGGAGCTCACGAGAGCAGTAGGCTAAGCGGTATTAATACCAACTACCACAGTAGAACAGCCTCAAGAAAGCAGTGCAGGAAAGAAGGAAGGGCCGGAGATTTAGCTCAGCGGGACAGCGCCTGCCTGGCAGGCGCGAGGTCCAGAGTTCGATTCCCGGTACCAAAAAAAAAGGGAGAAAAAGAGGGTAGAGAGCTTACGATATTTTAAAAATAATACCCAGCATGATGTTATTCCATCCATTTGAGTATTAAAAGTATTGGAGCAAAATACCTTTTAAAAAAATAACGGAAGCTGGGGACAGGGTACACTGAAAATGTTACTTTATGACTTTTATCTGAGTCTAAAATCATTTCAAAGTAAAAGTTAAAAAATACTAATGAAAACTTTTAAGGTGATGCACCTTTTGGAGTCTTGGCAAATAACTACCCCCTCCCCCATGCTCATGTAGTTCAGATCCGTGCAGAAGCTCAGCTGTGAGAATTTTTTACCTTCTTAGTGCCGTTCCTCAGAGGTGAGCAGTTCTTTGGCTGCAGAAAGTGAAGTCAGGGCCGGGGATTTAGCTCAGTAGTGGCGCCTGCCTCACAAGCGCAAGGTCCTGAGTTCGGTCCCTAGTACCAAAGAAAAGAAAAGAAAATGAACTCAGATGAAGTGAGTCATGTTTAGAGCTGTCTTCAGCAGGGTTGAAACGGGGAAGGGGCGGTAGCCATGGGGAAGGCAGGACGCTCCCCGTGGGGGTGCCGTCACTGCTGCCAGGGGTTCATCCGGGGCCTCACTCACAGGGGACGCGCGCAAAGCAGAGTCCTGGGAGAGGCCGTCGTGGCTCAAGGCACTTGTTTTGCAGCCCCTGAGTGGGAGACCAGATGCACCTACAGCCGGTGGGATTCTGAGCACCCAGCTCCCCGCAGCACCGGAAGCTTCCCGAACAGATCTCCTCTTCCCAGAATACTTAGCGCTAATTGGAAGCAGCTGAACCCTTAAAGCTGTGTTCCACCGCATCCTCCTAATATCCACCCACTATTAATGCACCCAACAAAGATGTGCCCTCTGGGCTCAGCCCCAGCTCACACGCTTGCCCGCGCGCGCTGTAAAGCTGGTTTAAGATAGCAAGGTGAGTGTTTATTGCTGCCCTCTGTTGCGGAGATGTGCGAGACAAACCACACGACTCGCCTGGTCTGACGGTGAGCCCTGGTGCCTGGTGCCTGCACCTGGAGCAGCGTTTTTTGTTCCTTCCCCCAGGCCAGTGAAGAACCCTACCCAGCTGGGAAGGCCGCTTCCCGCCTCTCCCCTCCGTGAGGCCACTCCCTCCTCTGTTCCCCCGCAGTGCCCTCCACCCCTTCAGCCAGCCTCACAGGTCCCTGCTCACTCGGAGCCAACTGCCCTGTTGTCCCTGTCTGCCTAGCACAGGCCTGGCCATTGTAGGTATTTGGTGCCTGCAATGAGCTGAGAGAGCGAAACTAAATCAAGAATATTTGCGTTCTTAATTATATCTAATCCCAACACCTTTCTGTTGAGAAACAGGTTGAGCATCCCTTGTTTAAAATATGTGGAACCAGTGTTTCAAATTTGGGATGTTTTTGATTGGGACTAGATATTTGCATGTGCATAATGAAATGTCTTGGGGATGGGATACAGGTCTAAACATGAGATCTATGTATGTTGCATGTACACCATATGCATAGAATCCGCAGGTGGTTTTGTACATACAACATCTTTAGTGCAACTGTGTTTGACAGCTCATGACAGCAGGGTGGACTTTTCCACATGTGGCATCACATCAGCACGAAAGCATTTTTACTTGGGAGCATCTCAGAGGAGCTTGATTCCTAGCTCAGAGTCCCACAGCAACGTGTCAGAGCTGGAATTCAAACCTGTACACACTGTGCAGTGGCTGGGGAGGGAGAGACCTCAGGAAAACTCCCTGGAGCTGGAGTGCAAATCAGGGTGCTGGGGAAGGCAGTTGGGCAGAGAGGGATGTTGGGCAGTGTGGTGGAATGGGGTTTCCCACCTGGGGAGGAAGGAGGAGGGGTGAGGACTGCTGAGGTGGCCTGAGGCACTGTAGCAGGGCTTAGTTTGTTTGTGCAGGGAGTCCAAGACTCGTCAGAGCTCACTGTGGCTCTGTAGCCCCAAAGTATAAATTCAGTTTTCCAGAAACTTCTTCCTGGAAGGCAGGGAGCTCACATGTTTTCGCAGAAACCTTAGAATACTTGTTGAGGCTCGGCTGACCGAGGCATTGAATTGATGTCACTGGGGAAAGGCTTGGGCCTGTACAGGAGACAAGCCCCCAGGGGTGCGGGGAGCCCGGTGGAGGGCATCTGCCCCTCCCCTGAGAAAGCGTGCCACCCCTGCAGCATTTTCCTTTTGTCCTCATTAAAAACCACACATGCACACTCTAGAAAATGTAGAGCTCATAGAAGGGTTAAAACCAGGAAATTTACCAGCAACCAGAGGCAGCAAGTACTGTTTACCTATTTAGTATGTTTATTTCTGGTCTGCATTCTCTGCTACAGAACTTTCTTAGACCGTGAACTGTTCTTCTTGTGTTACCTCATTGAGAGTACTTGTTTCCTTCCTCCAAGAGCCTTATAATAAAAAAAGAGGTACCAACCTTTATTGAATGCTCATCATACGCCAGGCACTATTTAAGGGCTTCATGTGCGTGGACTTATTTAAATTCTTCTAACCACCTTGAGAATAAGTGTCATTATTGTTTTATATTCCAGGTGGAGAGACAAACAGAGAGGTTAGGTGACAAGCTCAAGGTCACTGAGTGACCTGAGTGACAAAGTTGAGAGTCAGATCAGAGCCTATGTCCCTCATGACTTTGTGTGGAAACACGGACGGTTTCCCAGAGAAACTCAGCATCCTTTCTTCCATGCACACACTGTTGTCAGGCTCTTCTAGGAAATAGAGGGCCCAGGAGGTTCCAGGAGGCCTCACTAAGTAAGCTTCCTTTGTTTGAATCCCAGGCCACTGATAATTCCTGTTTATCCCCAACTTAAAACAAGCAGCACAAGGTAAAACACAATTCATAATAAGAATAAGAAGTTCCTTAAAAAAATTTTTTTAAAAGAATAAGAAATTTTTTTTTTTGGTACCAGGGATCAAACTCGGGACCTTGCACTTGCGAGGCAGGCGCTGGAACCACTGAGCTAAATTCCCAGCCCAAGAATAAGAAATTCTAAGCGTCATCAAAGCCCTTTGTATAGTATCAGCTGAGAGGTTAGAAAGGGAGAGGCGTGAGGCACCTAGAAGGCCCAGACTTCAGCAGAGGCAAAGCTGGACCTGTCCCTGCATGGGACAAGGGAGCCGCCACAAACCGAGCCCTGACTGGGGAGAAGTCAGGACCCTGCGGTGTGCACTGGGGATGTTCTCCAGGGTCCGCCGATAGAGCCGTGGTCCTGGTGCACCACCGCTGGAGGTGGTGACAGCTTTGCAAGGTGGGGTCTCTGAGGGTCTTGGGGTCGCTGCGGGGCCTCAGCCCCTGCGTCTTCCTGTCTCATGCTTCACGTGCCCTGCTGCTGTGACTGCCACCCCATGGGTCCGACACTTTGAGCAGTGAGCGGACTCCAGTGCCGTGCACAGGGGTAAACCTTTCTTCTTTCTAAGTCAATTTACATGAGTTTGATTCCCGGTGTGGGGTGAAACACGGACAGACAAATAAGTTGATTTACCTCTTGGATTTGTTATAGTGATGCAGACTGTCTGACAGGAAGGTCAGGGTTTTCATGGGCAAGATAGGGCAGTCTTCCTTCCATTCAAGTATTTTGTCTACAGCGCTTTGCTCATAAGCTCTAAGCCAGCTAAACAACTCTTTTCTGGAAATCAACTGAAGTGAGTCGTAATTTTCAGTGTCTGAGATCAGATGAATCCATACAAGCAATGCAACTAAATCAAGAATACTAAAAAAAAAAAAAAAGAATTCAGGAACTTCAGGGCCAGGGATTTAGCTCAGCAGTACTGCACCTGCCTTGCAAGCACAAAGTCCTGAGTTTTATCCCTGGTACCAAAAAATAAGAAAGAATTAAAATTGATTGCTTTCCAGAACTAGGTGGTGCATGGCACAGGTGTGACTGCTGCTGTTGAAGGCCTCGGCCTGGGAGGGAGGCCTGGGCAGCCCTGCTCAGAGGGGCTGGGCCCACCTGTGGGGAAGCCATGGGGGAGAGGGCGGGTGCTGTCTTCGAGGCAAGTCCCAGGACTGCAGCGAGGACCTGCCCTTTAAACAACAGGGAAGTTTGACGTTCTCAGTACTGAGAATTTTCTTTAGTTCTCTATATATGTCAGGTAAATCCAGTGCCAGGAAAAGGGGTCCGTGAGTTCAAATAAGTTCGGGTAATTTTGATGGATCCAGAGCATCAGGAGTTTATTTCGTTCCCTCTCCTCCCCTTTCCTTCCTTCTCTTGTCTGGTCGTTTTTCTCTGTTCTTTTCTTTTTAGTACTGAGGATTGAATCCAGGGCCTTTGTGTGAAGCTACTTTTTAAAATTTTGTACTTTGGAACAGGACCTCACTCAGTTGCTAAGTAGCCCAGACTAGGCCTGAACTCAGGACCCTCCTGCCTCGGCCTCCCAGAGCTCTGGGATTACAGGCTTGCACCACCATGCCCACCAGTCACTTATTTCTGTTTGAAACCGCTCTCCCATTTGGTTTCTGTGCCTCAGTGGGGAAATACCCACATGTACACCAGGCCAGCCCAGCATCAGCACATGCGCTCTGTGCCTTCGTTTTTGTTCAGGCTGATTTTGACAAGGCCACAGCAGATGTGAGGAAGCTGAAAGCAAGGCCAGAGGATGAAGAGCTGAAAGAACTCTACGGGCTTTACAAGCAGGCTGTCGCTGGGGACGTCAGCATCGGGAACTGTATCATCACTCTAAAGGGTAATGATATTCTTGGCTTGAACGATATTGTAGAAGTGCCCAGGAAAAATTAAACTCAAACATCTCTGTCCTCCTTTTGGCAGCGTGTCCAGCAGTGTCAGGGTTAAAAGGGAAGGCCAAGTGGGAAGAGTGGGTCCTCCGAAAAGGTTTTTAGACTCTTAAACCAGGTTCAGACAAACCTTAATTTCTTACTGCGCCAATCAGTGAAATAATCTGCTTGTGTCTTTCTAGGGTTGTCAGAGGAAGATGCCATGAGTGCCTATATTTCTAAAGCAAAAGAGCTGATTGAAAAGTATGGAATATAGAATTCATCAGAGGAAAAAGTTTTCCTTCGAAGCCTTCATAACGGTATCATGAGCTATTAACATTCAGGACAAGGGCACTGTTGCCTCTGGCTATGTTTGCTGTCAGCATGAATTATAGTACTTAGGAGAATACTGAAACCATGTAGCCGGCTAAATTTTATTTGCTTAAATCAGGTAACTTTACAAGTTCGTTTGCTGGGTGTGGTGGTGCACTCCTATAATCCCAGCACTCAGGAGGCTGAGGCAGGAACTGGAGGCCAGCTTGGGCTACAGAGTGAGTTCAAGGCCAGCCTGAACTACACAGAAAGAAGCTGTCTCAAACAAAACAAATAAGTTCTTTTAAAAAATGATTGCTCTGGTAGTGTGTATATAAAAACTTCAAAAATTATTCTTTTGGCTTACTGTTCTGCAATGATTCAGTGCGACTAGGGTAATAAAGAGTTTAAGAATCAGTGGGAAGCTGGCTCCATTGTCACAGTGTGGTGTGCAGGGCTTCCACAGAGGCAGGGTCTGTGGGATTACAGGCTGCCTGTCTCGTCCTCTCTGTGCCTAAATCACTAGGTGGCATAGACAGGTTTGTTTTTGCTTTTTTTGGGGGGGGGAGGGGTACTGGGGCTCGAACTCGGGTCCTTTCGCTTGTAGGGCAGGTGGTAGTGCCACTGAGCTAAATCCCCAGCCCATATAGACAGGTTATTAATGTCACCAGACTTCACCTCTAGAGGAGGGAGAATACCATTACTCTCACAGGGCCATTGTGAAAGTTGACTGAGTTACCTATAATCATCCTGCACTCACTAAAGCAAATGCTGTATAAAATTTCACAAGCTGAAAATAAATTTTAAAGAAACTTATGGGGCACTCACGGTGCAGTTTTGGGATAGATTCACAAAGCCCTGGGTTTGATCTCCAGCACCACAAAAAAGCAAAAAGGAGGAACTTATAAGTCTGTGGCTCTGTAGCTCTTAAAAAAAAAAAAATAGCCACCATAGAAATATCTACTATTTTTCTTAAAATTTTTGCACTTAAGACAAAAGAATCAAACTAAAATGTATCTAGTGGTGAACTGTCCCCTACTGAGCCCCTTGTGTTCAGATTTATCAGAAAGAAAATGCAGAGTCTGGAATATAACGTTAACCCACACTTCGTCCTTCTGGCTGATTCCCAGGCTCTTTGAAAGAAGACAGCTTCAGCCAGGTGTGGTGCAGCACTATCATCCCAGCACTCTGGGAAGCTGAGACAGGAGGATCACAAGTTCCAGCCCAGTCTGGGGAATTTAGTGAGACTTGGTCTCAAAAATAAAAAATCAGTTGGGATGTAGCTGAGTGTGAAGGTATTGGGTTCAAGTCCTAGTAAAACACACACACGTGCGCGCGCGCGCACACACACAGTCTCATCTTAACAGTTTGAAAACCTTAGATTCTATAAGGATACTCTCCCCCCAAAAGAATGTACTTCTGTTCCCTAAATAAGACTGTAGAGTTATGGTATTATCAGAGGGATAGATTGACTTTTTTTCCCTTAAAAAACAACCACCTAGGTCTGCTGGATGAATTTCCAGGGAATTAGCTGAGTACAAAAAGCCAGTTCCAAAATGTCCTAGCTGGGTCAAAATGCTTGAGGTCATCAGCTCTGTGGGAGGAGAGGCTTATTTGGCTCATGGTTTCAGAGGGTCCAGTCCATGGGTACTCAGCCCTGTTGCTCTGGGCCTGGGATGAGGCCTAGCAGCGTGGTGGGAGCAGAGGAACGCGCCCAGCTCATGGCAGCTGGGAAGCAGAGAGGAAGGACAGGGTCCCTGTACCTCCTCCACGGGTGCCTCCAGGGTCCTAACTTCCTTCCCCAGGCTGGGGACCAAGCCTTTAAGATGCGCTGTGGAGGGGAAGCCAGATCCCGACCGTAACCATGTGGCTCCACTTAAGTCACATTCTTGCAATGGAAACATTGTAGGCAGGATGGACCAAACAGTGGCTGCCAGAAAGGAGCCGGTGGGTATTCCTAGGAAAAGGCAATGGAGGGATCTACTGGACTAGAGTCTTCTGCATCTCAACTGTAGCAATGTCAGTAATGATACATTATATATAGTTTCAGTAGTGGAAATTGGGTAAAAGCCTGTATGGGATCTTTGTATTATCTCTCACCACTGCATGGGAATCTATAGTTATCTCTCAAAATGTTTAAGCCAGGCATTGTGGCCCACACCTGTGATCCCAGCATTTGGGAGGCTGAGGCAGGAGGATCGCTGTGAGTTTGAGGCCAGCCTGGGCTACACAGTGAGTTCAGGGCCAGCCTGAACTACATATCGAACCAATGCCTTCAAATCATTTTTTTAAGTAAAAGAAAAACTAGTCACGATGGCACACATCTGTAATCTCAGCTCCTCGGGGGACTGAGGGAGGAGGATCCCAAATTCAAGCTCCTCCTGGACAAACATAGCAATACCCTGTCTCAAGAAAAATTAAACAGGGCTGGAGATTTAGCTCAGTAGTGCCGCGCCTGCCTGGCAAGTGCAGAGTCCTGATTCGATTCCCAGTACCGGGGTGGGTGTGAGGGATTAAACCTAAAAAAGAGCGAGGGATGGAGCTGAGTGGCAGGGCATTTGCCTAGAATATATGAGGCCCTTGATTCAATTTCCAGTACTGTTGAAAAAAAATAAGATAGATTTCTTACCTGGAAATTTTGGGGAGGTAAAGCTGATTCAGACAGCAAAGTTGATTCTCCATTGCTAAGTTTTATCTACAGAAGTTTTTCCCAGTACAGTCAAGGCCCGAGCCTTCAAAGAGAAGACCTGGCCTCTTACAGTCCAGTGTTGCGAACTGAGCCCTTTCCTGTGCCTGTCTCTTCTGGCCGGTGAGAGCCAGGAGAAGCCTGCTGTCAGCTCACTGGGAGCCTCTCACTGTGGACTACACTGAAAGACTTTCAAGTCAACAATCGAAGATCCAGACAACCTTCATACCAGCCCTTCAGCGAGGGGCCCTGGAAATGGCATCAAACTGAAGAGTAAAGGACAACACAAACTGAACATCCAATGAAATTCGCTTGAGGCTATTCCTAAGCTCAGATTCATTATGTGAATTCTTACTTGCAGCCCTCCCTCAATAATTAATTTTAGATTCTTTGTCCTTTGTCAACAAGGAATAATAAATTCTGGAAAATGTCTCCTGCACCTGTTTTCCTTCTTCGTATCTACTGAGACCCTCTGTGCGTTATTTTAAAATAGTAACATAAACATGTCATATGATCACACACACTGATTTTTGTTTGTTTTTCTGAGATAGTGTCTCTGTGTTAGTCCAAACTGGCCTTGAACCCACTGTGTAGCCCAAGCTGGTTGTGAACTCCTAACCCTGCCGCCTCAGCTTCCCAAGCGCTGGGAGTACAGGTGTGACCAGCACACTCACTGGCTCACGCTGACGCTTTAAAAGTTAGCATTTGAGTGTTAATGTTGAATGTTCCGTCACACCGGGTAAGCTGTAAAGAGCAGAAGTTGTATTGAGAAGTTCGATTTATGTAAAGGTCTGGAGAAAGTTAGGGTTTCAGTAGTGAGGCCCTAAGGGAAAGCCCAGTTTGGGAAGTGACAGGGCTCCAAGCCAGGCAGCTCCAAGTCTGAATGACTCTAGTCCTCCTAGTAGGCACCTGTGGGCTGCCTTTGCAATCTGCCATGGAACTGACTCCGCTCACTTCTGTTTCCACTTTCTTTTGGTCCTGGTTGCTGTTCCTGATCAGCAGCACCTTGGTGCTTGACCGCACCCACCCTTCCGTCCAGGCTGTTCCTGCTGTGCTTGGAAGGCTCGCCCTGCATTCCTGCCAAGGCAGGGCCACCAAGAGTCCCCAGCCCTGTGTCAAGCGGCTTGGAAAGAGGGCTGGGGACTCCTGCTGGAGATGACAGGAGTTCTTCTTCAATGAAGCAGGAGATTCCACTATTAAATAGTGCCCCAGTAGATTTCAGAAGACGAGACCAAGCGTAGAGCCACAGTGGGTTGCCAAAACAGTGATTTTAATGCCATGCAATTCCCGGCAATCACACCGTTAAAGTAACCGAAGGGGCCTGGGGATGTGTACAGAGAATGTGCTTGGTAAAGGTAAAGTGTAGAACACCTGCCTGGTGAGCATGAGGCTTTGGGTTCAGTCCTCACCACTGCAAAATAGTAACAATAGAAATTATCAGAGGAAGAAATAGGTAATTTGCCAAGCATTTTTGACAACCTTCCCGCAAATGAGAATCAACTGAGTTTCAAATACAAACATAAAGGACTCTGCCAGAAGCATTCTTTACCCATTTGTCTCTTATCCTCTGACACATAAATGTTCCATGGAGTGATCCATTAATATTAAACAAAGCACTATAAGAGAAAATGCATAATATCCAACCTGACTAAACTAAGGAGCTATGTCTGAATAACTGAGGACAGTGTGATCTCTTCTCTTTTTTTGAGACAGTCTCACTATGTAGCCCAGGCTGCCCCGAACTCTGATCATGCTGCCTTAGTCTCCCAAGTGCTGATATTACAGGCGTGCATCATCATGCCTAGCCCAACACTTTCAACTACTTTAAGGCCAAGAAAAGCTAAAAGTTGGCAAGTAAAGACAGTTCCAGACACTTGGTTATGTAGTTGGTGATGAAATGCTCATTGGCAGGTTCCAAAAGATAAAAGTGATTTCCTGGCAGTACGTGAAGGTCAAAGGTTCCACTGGTTACAATTTTCCAGGCTAAAAATAAATGAAATTTTATTTAATAACAAATAGCACTTGCCAGCTACAAGGAGATTTACTTTAAGATATTGTTTCTGTAAGAGCTGACACCCACTGATAGAGTTACTCCCAAGGGCTCGGGTTCCTGTCCTGAAATTTTTAATTTCTCTAAGACTTGTCAACATACAGTAGCATTACCTAAGTTCCCATTTTACCCAACTCAACATCTTTCCATTTACACTAAGCAGAACCACAAACACGTATTTCAATAAAACACTCAAAACTAGGAAAAAACTTTCACCTTCCATATCCTTTGTGATGTCTTCAGATCCGACAAAGCATGTGAAGTCACAGGAAAGGACAGCCTTCTGGGGTGTGTCAAAGCTGTGGACAGGGCAGAGTGGTCAGCCCTGTCCACAGCTAACAGTCCTCACTGCTGCAGTGACTCCTGTGAAGCGAGGTGGGCCCGCCTCCCCTCCTCCCCTTCAGCTCAGCCCAGCAGTGCAGACATTTCTTTCACTGCTTCCTATCAGAGCTTGCCTGAGCCTCGGCTTGGAACAGGTCATTTTCCAGGACCTCCTGAGTGCTAGAAGATGCGGGTGACACTGGGCTGACGGGGGAAGCTGATTACCAGGAGCACCTTTAGCTGCTGTACCCAACAGCCTATCTGCTCCCCCAGCTCCCTCGCCATGGTTGCCATTCACAGAACCAGAGTGGGTCCCTCTTCATCTCATCACCACAGCTCGGGCCTGTTTCCTGAGCCAGATGCTGGGTGCTGTGCTGCACACGAGGAGCCAGCATAGTCCCCGCCCTCTGGAGCTGGGGGTGTTGGCTCCAGAGACAGACATGAATTAAACAGACACCTGGGGACAGGTGAGGGAGGGGTAGGGTGAAGGCAGGTCTCCCTGGGGTAGGAGAGTGGACCTGAGCTCTGAATGAACAGGAGAGAAGGAGCCGAAGAGAGAGAGACAGCAGGGGAAGCAGGAAGGGAGGGAGCTCAAATGAATGCCTGCTGCCCAGAGAACTTAAGGATCGGGAAAAAGTACGGTACAAGAGATGGGCAAGAACCACTCAAGTGTAGGCCATGTAGAGGACTGTGGTTGTCAAAGTGATGTCACCAGAAGGATTTCAAACAAGGCACCAGCACTCAAACTTGATAATCATCCTTATGGATATAGGGTGGGGGTGAAGATCAAGACAGGACCCACTAAGGGGGCTCTTTCAGTAGCCCGGGCCACGATTTCTCTTGCGCCAAAGATGTATGAAACAAGGAGGCCACTCCACCTGACAGAGCAAACCCAGATCAGCTGTGTTTGTAAGGCAAAGGGGAAACAGTTCCGTGAAGGGGCAGGCACCTCTAAGAACAGGTGGGGTGTGGGCATGGGCTCCGGTGTGGCAAAATACACCGAAAAGGCGTGTCTAAGGCCAGCTGGACGGTCAGCAGTGTTGGAGACCCAGCGCAGCTGTGTATCAGATGGAGGTTGCTCTGACTCACAGGCCATTTTCCATGGCCTGCACTCAGGGCTCATGAGAAAGATGAGAAGGCGGGGGCCAGAGAGAACGCCCACCTTGAGACAGGCGGGCACCACCTGTTTCATGATCCCCAGGGAAGAATGAAAGCTGAGGCTGGAGCAGGACCACCGAGAAAACATGCTTCCGCAGCCAAGCCCACAACAAGAGCAAAGGACCCAGGGGCGGGTGGTCCACCAGGGTAACCACAGCAACAGCAGAGTGAGACCCACTCAGCTTTACTCTCTGATGACAGAGGAGAGGTGCGCTCACATTCACATCTCAGATTCAAATCAGTCTCTGCTGTTTATGTGTAATTGGCTTCCAGTAGAAAATATCAGGCACAGGAGAAAGCAAGAAATCCATCAGGAAACAAAACAACCAAGAGTTAGGTGCATAAAGTCCCAGATGTTGGAACTACCAGACCAGGACTTGAAAACAGGCAAAGTAGAAACAGCGCTGTGCACGGGCTGTGGGTGTGTAAGAGCAAAGCCATGAGCTTTGATGGATGGAAGGGGGGGCAGTGAGTGCAGGGCGTGGACACAGGTGGGGTCGTCACGCCTCTCCAGGTGCTCCGAGCCTGCTCCACTTTTCGAAGCTACTTGTGTAAGCTTCTGGGAGCAAGCGCAGTCCCTGGTGGCCCAATGCCAGTTCCAGGCTTTGGGGGGAAATCAAAGAAACATTGGCCCAAACGTCTGTTCCAGGGACTCACACCAAGAGCAGTCCCAGGCCAACGGAAGCAATGCATGGCAGTAGAGCAGGGTGGCAAAGGGCCAGGTGCATCCTATTGTGATCTTTGGGGAAACAGGACCAGGAAGGGCCATTCATAGGCATAGGTTACTCGGCAGAGTTTGTAGACTATTAGGACTACAGGGAGAGTTGTGAATCTAAATGAGTTCTGGAACAAGGCAGTAAGAAAGCAAACCTAGTGAGCTACTGCTCCCTGCTGTTCACCTCCACATACAGTAGTAAGTAGCCATCTGCTTCTGTTGGTCCTGAGAAAGCTGGGTGTGGTGGTGCACACCTGTAATCCCAGCACTCAGGAGGCTGAGACAGGAACATTGCTGTGCGTTCCAGGCCGGCCTGAACTACACAGCAAGACCCTGGCTCAAAAGACCAAAATAAATGAATGAATAAGTAAATGACAATATTTTGACACTAATTTAATCAATAAATATTATGTGATAGATGATGCGTGTCTATATGGGTTTTTTGTTTGTTTTCATTTTGTTTTTGTTCTTGGTAACAGGGATCAAACTCAGGATCTCCTGCTTGCCAGGCAGGCGCAGTGCCGCTGAGCTACATCCCCGGCCCTCTGTATGTTTTTTAAAAGAAAATATATCCTTGTCATCTTATAGAAATACAATTTCTGTCCCCAGGCTCCATTCAAGGCCAGTACAAATAGCACAGATGGTCCCAAGGAAAATGAAACCCAGCACTTATAATATTGTCTTCCCATACATGCAGCTGGTGAGAACTGCCAATCTATATTTTTCTAGAAGCACACACACAAACAAATTTGTCTCGGTTACTTACCTATATTTACTTAAAATGTTTATGTCTGCCAATATCATGGGAATAGTTTGTTTCAAAAGTTCCTGGTTATCTGTTAAACTCTTTGGAATGCCTCCCAAATCTATAAGGTAACGTTTAACTTGTTCTTCTGACAATTCATGGAGACTGGGAATCGGAATCTTGGCCTTCGACTTGAAACATCAACAAACACAGGCCTGTTATTTTATGAAACACATTACCTCATAAGCTGAAAACTAGCTAAGGAAAAAGTCCTTAAATCAAAGTTAAATGGATTTTATCTACAGGCTGCAGAGGAGAGCGATTTCTTTTCTAAGGTAGGGAGAAGTTCCTCAGTATTTCTAGTGTCATAATGCCATGAAAATGACATTCTGGGCTTCACATCCTAGGCCAGTCTGGGTCTCTCTGCAGAGAAAATGGGGAGGTCAAAGGAGGAAGAGGAAGGAATCGTAGCACTGAGTTCCAAGCTACTTCTGAAAGTTCCACATCACTGTCCCCTCTGAAATTTCAAGGATATTTTCTGGCTCTGATTTGTTTCTTTTCTGAAAGTTGATTAAGTTGTAAGCAGATTAAAAATGAGAGGGAAAAAAGCACTGAAGGTCAGTATGAGTTCAGAGGCGTCAGAACAATGCAGACAATGATCCGGGACCTGCTGAAAATGAAGGAAAGGACACTGAAACAGATTTAGAGGATTTCCAACAGCAAATCGTATCCCTGTCATCGTTTCCATGCTGGAACCAAATTTGCCAGATAGGAAAATCACAGCCTGACTTCTGTTCCTCCACTGCCCTCCTATTTATTCCTCTCTCCAAAGAAAACTAATTTACTTACATAGGGAGGAGTTGCACTTGATGCAAAAAAATGGAGTGGTTCCAGCTTGTATTTTTCTTTCAGGTGCAGCGCAGTCATAAAAGCAATATAGGATCCCAAGCTAAATCGGGGACAGACAAATATGATAGTAACTGTCCAGACCCATGGTAATCCAGGTATTGTGGGCACAGCAATGATCACGTAGTACTCAAAGTGCAGGTTAATTAATAACCGACTTGTAAAGGTATATTTTCAATGACTAATGTTGACGTAAAGTGTTTCAAATACATACTAGATAGTTCAGTGCGAGGTTTGGTACCTCCTTCCACAATGCCGTAGTTTAGGCCTGGAATGTCCCCCAAAGGTCTGTGTTTCTGTCTTGGTTCCTGACATGCTGCTGCTGGGAGGTGGGGGACTTCTAAGAGCAGGGCCTGGTGGAAGGTCTCGGGGTCACTGGGTGTGAAGCTCTGAAGGGCACCATGGGATTCCAGCCCTTCTCTTTCACTTCCTAGTTATCAGTCAGTGGTTTTACTCTGCCATATGCTTATTCCATGATGTGCTGTTTTGCCACAGACTCAAAGTAACAGGGCCAACCATCCACAGACTGACACAAAACTAGAGCCAAGACAAACCTTCTCTATATAAGTTGATCATCTCAGTTATTTTGTTACTATTATGGAAAGCTAACACAGCAGCTTAAAGTTGATTTCAATGTCTCTTTCTCCTTTAAAGATGTGTACTACTTTTCCTCCCTTAAATGATAGTATACATCAGCAGTTCTCAAAGGATGGTCTGGGAACCCTGGGGATTTCTAAGATCATAACAAGTAGCCCTCGAGGTCAAAGCTACTTTCAGGATAATATTAAAGTGTTGTTTGCCTTCTGTACTCTCCTATTCCAGTAAGTGCCTGGTGGACCTTTCCAGAGGCTGTATGGCATGGGACAGTAGTGAATCCAGCCGCCTTCTATTAAAACAGACTTGCCACAGTGTAAAACAATCCTACTCTTCATATTACATTTTGGGGAGGAAATACAGTCTTTATAAAAAGATATTATGTCAACAACATATGATGGGCTGCTAGTGTTATTTTTAGATAAGTTGGTAACTAAAGTTTTCATAGTTGTGCTTTCTACTGTGCTAAATATTGAACAGCTATGTCATACATAAACAGAAGCTCTTCGGCATCCTCAAAACACCTTAAAAACATAAAGGAGGACTGGGGCCGAAAGGTTTGTGAACTTCTATAGATAGTGTACAGATATACTGTGTAGACAAAACTCCCAGAGGCTATTCATTTGTAAGTTGTATATTTCCATGCCCCATAAAAGTGCTGGGAACTCAGTCCTGTGTCCATTGCTGATGGAGTGGGAAGTACAGGTAATTTGGAAAAAGCTTCACATCAAGAGCTTTAATGATGTACATATCATTTAACTTAAATTCTGGAAATTTATCCTAAGAAAATCCTATACTAAATTTCTAAAAGAGTGTTGTTCACAGCAGAAAGAAAATAATTTCCATGCAGCTGAGGAGAGTAATACAAACAAATTGTGAAACAATGTATATTTTCAGGCTGTGAAAGATGTTTCATAGTAATATTTAAGTGATAAAATTCAGACAAAAATATAACGCAGGTCTGTATCATGTAGAATACTAAGGAATCACAAAAGTAAATTGGGAGGGGAAGAGCAGTTGAAGGGAGGGGAGGGGAATGGGAAAAAAAGAAGAATTAAGACGTACTATACACAGGAACAATTCCCTGGGATAAATGCAATCAATATGCATGGCAAACTTGTACTAAAATGTTTTTAAAGCATTGTTTTCTGGATGGTAGGGTAGTGAGTACTTTTATTTTTCAATTTTTGCTTTGCCATATTTATAAAAATTGTATATTATAGTAGGTAACACTGAGTTTCTTACTATATATCAAGTTAAGACTGCTATTCATTTAAGCCCCACAATTAAGAATTATTATTACTTCAGCTTATAGAGAAGGAAACTAATATAGAAACCTAAGGAACTTTCCAAAGGTCACATAGCTACTAAGACGTGGTCAGAACCCCAAGATCTATGACCTAACCTCAAAATTATACAATCCAGAAACATATACTATTTGCATCATTTTAATTTTATAAATAAATGGAATGACTCTTGCTTTTATAAGTCTTGGTTTTTCTGCCTGAAAAGAAAAAAAGGGGTAATTACTATAAAATTTGGAGAGTATTAAGAGTTCTGGTTTGTCATAATTGTTCAACACGCTGTTTATGGGGTGGAGAGGAAAGGCGGAAGGAATTGAGATGTGTTCTGTCCATGTACCAATTCCACACAATGAATGTGATCATTATGCACTGCAGACGTGTACTAATAAAAAATATGCTGTTTAACCAATACAAAAGGTTTGCATCTCACAAAACACAAAGAACAACATTACCCATGAACTTTGATTAAGAACCCCCCCCATCCTTTGAAACAAATTTTAAATACCTATGGCCAAAAAATGCAAATGGTTTATCCTGGACAACTGGCAGCAAAGCATAAACAATTTCATCAACTATCTCATCGATGTCATTTGCGAAAGGTTCTTCAGTCCGACTTTCTCTTCCAGCAAGTCTTACAGAGTACACTGGAGATTGGGAAACACAATGAATAATGAACGAGATACTGTGATGATATAAAACCTTATACTGACATGATATGAACAATCTCAAACATCATAATAATGGTCAAGCACAGTGAAATAAAAGTTTCAAAATTTGCTGACAAGAAAAGCAACATCATGAAATACAACAAACTAAATATCTGAAAACACTTTAACTCCAAATATCTAGAAATGATAGATGAAGCACACATATAATTAGACATCTAGTTTAGCTCACAATAAAGAGAAAACTTAGAAAAGAAAAAAAGAAGAAGTAATTGAAAATTCCAGAAGTGAGTACACATGGATAGGCACCCCTGCCAGCCATCAACTATATAAGAAAAATAAAATGTTGGGTTTTAAGAGTGACCACATGAGCCAGGAAACACGGTATTGGAGTCTGTTAAATTTGGGAGTTAAAACTAAGTCCTCTATAGAAAAAAAATTTATATATTTTTTCCTCCTCATGGCAAAGGGAATAACCAAGAAATTTCTGGTTTTGCCTTGCCTCTGGATAGGGCAAGAGATGGGGTGGGGGGTAGGGGATCTGCCTGGCTTTCATTTTTTAACCAAAGCCTGCAATTATGAAAATCTAAAGTTTATGTATATTATCTTAATAAAATTAAGCTGAAAAAAAACCTCAAAATGAGTCAGAGTGAGTAGCTCTTCAGAAGCAATAACAAGTCATCTCCTGATAAATACATACACAACATAAGCTTTCTAGAGTCAAGAATCATCCCAAATGACTATACAGTTTGTTAGAGCAAAGTCTAACACACTTTAAAGGAATACAACAAAATCAAGTGCCCAACAATGTAAAACTCACAATGTCTAGCATCTAAAACACACCAGACATCCCAGAATCTGGAACACATGACCATAACTGGAATCAGTAGGAGAAGAGGAGTCAAACATGAGAAACAGCTAAGAAATAAAAATCAAGTTAGAACCTTAAAATGGCTATTATAAATATGCTTGATAATGTAAATGAAAGCATGAACGTAGTAAGAGAAAGTAAAGGTTTTTTAAAGACCCCAGTGCAACTTCTAGAGATATGAAGTACAGCATCTGAAATTAAAGAAAATATATCAGATGGGATTAACAACAGATTAGATATGAAGATGTGATAGTGAACTTAGAGCATACAGAAAATGAAGTTTTCCAAAATTAAGTATAAAGGGAACATGATCCAAGAAAAAGTACAGATGACCAGTGTCCTGTGGCACAATATAGATGAATTTTTTCATCATAGAAAACAAGAATACCACAGTAAGAACAACTTCCTCCTTACAGATAAAGGAAATAAAAAGAAAATGTCTAATAAGGGACGATTTAGGGTAGCTAATGCCATGAAAATACTTAAGCACACTAAGCAGCTTTCACTTGACACGTTTTGTCATTGACAGCCAAAACTGAAACCCTAAAAGCAATTCTCCATCTATAAAAGCAGCTGGTTCTGAAAGTCGTTTTCCAAAGATTCCACAGGCTACTGTCAGTTCAGTTTTAAGTTCAATCTAGAGCACAAGATACATTTATCAGCTCACTTTTTTGACTGCTATTTTGAATAATTCTAGTTGTTAACAATATGTTAACATTGACTTTCTATTTTTCAGTATCTTTGAGAGGACAGTAGTTATAATTCAAAAAATAACAGTGAGATATTATGATTAAATTGTTTTTAGCTGTATGTCTTTAAATTAATTGTAAAAGTAAGCATTTACTCTTTGATGTAAAATGTGAAAAAAAATGTCATATTAGTATCTAAACTGAATTGATTCCTTTACAATTTCAGGAGAAATACTTGCCTAATGCTTTAATGGAAGAGCAACAGAGGTGTATAATTGGTATTGATTAAAACTGTAAGCAGCAAATATCACCTAATTTTACAGCTGAGTCTAATGTATGTTTCTTCTTCAAATATTAATGGGCATAAAATTCTGGTCAAGAGAGTGGAAAAAATATCTAGGTAATGGTCAAATAAGACATTTTCTCTTCTCTTAAGAAATGACATGAGGACACTGACTCTGAAAAACTGTATAAGAGCTGAAGAATTATATCATTGCTCTGTAGCTTCTAAGAAATAAATAATGCAATTTTTTGGCTGTCAAAATCCGTCAAAAATATAGATGAATTTTTTTTGAAATGATGAATTTAATAGAACTTATTAGAACTGTCATGGTTCTCGATTTGTTACAGCTTTTGAACTCCATTCCTTCCTGATAGCAGCAATTACACTGGAGCTGGGGAATTTAGAGGGTGTCTTCTCTTTCTTTCTTAATATAGATGAATTTATCATATGTGTAATTTGGAGTTCCAAGGAGAGTAGAAGAGAAGGAAAAAGAAAAATATTTAAAGAAGTAATAGCTGAATATTTCCAAATTTGATGAAAATTATAAAGCCACAGATCCAAGAAGGTCAAAGAAATATGAACAGAATGAACAGTGAAAACCACGACAAGGCATGTCATAATCAAATTGCTAAAAACAAATGAAGGAAAATCTTGAAAAGCAGCAACAGAAAAGAGACATAGATGCAAATGTAAGAATACAACAGATTTCATGTCAGAAACTGTGCAAACCGAAACAGTATAACAAGGGAGGACAACTGTCAGCCTAGAATTCTGTAACCTGTGACAATGTACTTCAAAAGTGAAGGTTAAATAAACATTTTTTCAGACACACAAAGCCTGAGATTCTGCATCCACGGATAGACCTTGAACAATGTGTTGTTCTTCTGGTTTGCATTAGGATGCGAAAGGAAATAGTGCCAATTTCCCCACACAGAGTGGCTCCGGATGACACCCTCTCTGGGCAGACCCTCACAGGAGCCACTCTCGGAGGGGTAATTGGGACTGGGCCAGAGAACAGCAATACTTCAGGGCTTCTACTGTCACCCCACCCGTGACTGTGTGGGCCACCAGCCAGGAAGGCAGAGGGCTAGCCCTAGGCCCCTCTGAGAAGGTGAGCCTGGGATGGATGCAGGGGTCTTGCCCTTCTCGCTAAGAAGCCAGCTGGTCATGCGTAACTGTCAGAGGGGCCGGGTCTAAAAGTGCCAGCATTAAGTCCAGCGGTCTGCACAGATGGTGTTAAAAACCTGTTTACAGAAATAACAGCAGGAAACTTTCCAGATATGGGGGAAGAGTTTAACATACAAATAAGCAAGGAATTTAGAACCCCAAATAGCGCGATCAGAGAAGGACTTCTCCATGACACATCACAGTCAAAATTCCAGAAGCCCAGCACAAAGGCAAAATCACAAGCTGTTAGAGAAAAGCATCAAATCACTTACAAGGTAAAACTATTAGAATTACAGCAGACTTCTCAACACAAACCTTATATGGAGTTACATGTTTCAAGCCCTAGAAGAAAATAAATTCTAACCAAGACTGAAAAATCCTGCAAAACTCTCTCAAAATTGGTGAATAAATAAATATCTCCACGACACACTGTGCCTTAAAAGTTCACGACCACCAAACAAGCACTCCAAAAAATTCTCAGAGAATATCCTTGAGAGAGACAAGCCAACAATGCCAGAGAGTCTAATGGAATGAACATACAGGCACAGTGAACAGGCACATCATAGGGGTGGGGGTCAGCAACAGGGGAAGAACGACACGGCAGGACTAAGTCAGTACCTTTCAAGAACAGCTCTATCTCAACTCCCCGACCAAACGACCCAGATCGGAAGATCAGACACAAAAACAGAAGCAAATGGTATGCTGTGACAAGACACACATTTAATCCAAAAGGATATACATAATCTAAAAATCAAAGGATGGAAAACAATATTTTATGCAATGGTAGCCTCCAAACAAGCAGGAATCACTGTCCTATTTTTCAGGCAAAATGAACTTCAAGCCAAAACTATTCAGCAGAGGGAAGTAGTTCAGTGGCACCTCCGTTGCCTGGCAAGCGCAAGGTCCTGAGTTCGATCCCCAGTACCACAAAAAAAAACAACAAAAACCCCCAACTATTCAGAAGAGGCAAAAAAGAAAAGGTCACTGCACACTGATTGACGGAACAATTCAACAGGAGGAGATAACAATTCTAAATATATTAAGACTATTAGAGTTAAAGACATCATATTACAGTGATATATGCATACTCACATTGACAGCAGCACAATCCATAATAGCTAAATCCTGGAAGCAGCCTGTATGCCCATCACCAGATGAATGGACAAAGAAAATGTGGCATTTATACACAATGGAGTACTACTTTACCATAAAGAAGGATAATTTTGTGTCATTTACAGGAAAATGGATGCACCTTCAGACCATGAGGTTAACCGAAATAAATCAGACACACACGCTTAAATGCCACATTGTTTCTCTTCTATGAAGAGCCCAAAATATTAATAAATTAAAGAGAAAAATAAGAGGCTGATAATAGGAAATAGGGAGATAGAACTTTTGCAATAAAAAAAGAGACTGAGAGAGAGGCGGGGGAAGTAAAAAGAGGTGGGGTGTGTTGTGTACACGTAGCGACTCCCCATGGTGAATGTTCTCATTGTGCACTGCAGACAGGTGCTAACAAAATAATTCTTTTTTAAAAAGAAAGGAGGGAAAGAAGTGGAAAGAGAAAAAGGGGATGAGGGTGGTAAAACAATATGTACATGTTACGTGCTCTGCCAGTTGTGCTGGCCCATGCCTGTAACTCCAGCACTTGGGACGCTGGGGCAGGAAGATTGCCATGAATTCGAGGCCAGCCTGGACTACACACCAAGAAACTGTCTGAAAAAAACTAAAACTAAACTAAACTAAATGTTACATGTTCTGACAAAGCAGATATATACCTTGTGCTTGCATTAGATACAAGACTTTGTAGAGAGGAGAAGGAAAAAGGGAAAAAGCCAGGCACAGTGGCCCACGCCTGCTGATCAGCACTCAGGAGGCTCGGGCGGGAGGATCAGAGTTTGGGGCCAGGTTGGGCTACACTGAGTTCAAGGCCAGCCTGGACACAGCCAGGCCCTATGGAAAATAAAGGGCAGGCAAAGAGTAAGTTCATTGACATTATATACACAATAGGTGTGTCTCTGAGGTTATAAATTTAGTGACATAGAAGCACAGCTTTTTCTGGGGGAACATGGAGGCCCATTCCAAGCATAGAGAAAGGAACATCAAGAAAAGCGAATGAACGATGGGTGTCTTTAGAGTGGGGAAGCAAGATGCGTGCATATCCTGAGACCCAGGCTACCATCTTAAGGGGCGTGGCTCCCGCCAGCAGGGCTGCCTCGGTGGCCATTTTGGGAATGTGTTCATTTTTGGACTTAAAGCCACTGTATCCCACCCCGGGTTTGGGTTTAAGTTTGTCGAGTGAAGCTCTGAGAGATTTTGTGCCCCTTAAGAACCCTGGCGGACTATTATGTTTAGGGAGTGGGGCTAGTGCAGTTCCTGGGATAGAAATGGCATGGTTAGTCTAGGTGTTTCCTGGGCTCAGGAGCTTTGGGCAACACCAGCTTCCCTACCTCCTTACACCCACTATTTTTTTTTTTTTAGTTTAGCACCGTTTATTTGTGATCTCAGCTGTTGTCATGGCTGCTGTGCATCAGCCTGTTCTCAAAGCATAACATGCTCTTCCATTCCTCTCATCCAGGACAGAAGGATCTTCCAGGTGGCACACCAACAGAACAAGGGACTCCGATGATGCCAGCTTCAATGATGGTGCCATCCAGAGAGGGAGAAGGTCAGGGCACATTCAACCGCGGCTTCCAGAGGTTTTGCAAAGGGAGCCTTTGGGGGCCCAGCCTTCTGGCATTCTAGTGCAAGTGCGATTAGGAGAGGAGAGAGAAGGGGACCCGAGGGCAGGCAGGGTCTGGGTCTGGGTCTGGAGGAGGGTGTTCCGGCCCCAGGGCCACGGGGCTGGAGTCCCAGAGACACCCTCTGGGGAAGGCAGCGTAGCAGCCCAGCCTTTCTGTCAGACTAAGGGCCACAGGCTCTGCTGGACTCGGAAGGGCTTGTGCATGTGTCTACAACAGTCAAGAGGAGTCACTTCAGGGGATCAGGAAGGTAGAACAGCAGAGAGGGGAGAGCTGATGAAAAATACCTCATTCCCTTTCTTACCCACATGTGAAGCTGGCTCTGAGTTGCTGGCATGGGGTGGGGGGGCAAGCCTGAGAATCTTGAAAATAAGAGTTCTAGAGCTACGTCTTTGCAGCCTGGACAGAGCCTGGCAGGAGGGCAGAAACTACGACTGCCCCGGAACAGAGAGTAAGGCACATGTGCCTGAGAAGACAGTGCTAACACGGGCTGCCAAGGCGAGCGCCAGGGCCAGAACCAGGGCAGGCGAGTGACTGCTGCTGGCTCTGACGGTCACAGCCAGCCATATGATTATGGACCAACTCCCATGGCACTGTGCCCCTCCAGGCTGGCACCAAGCTGGCAGAAGCAAGGTCTACCTACGAATGCATGGGAGAAAGACTCCCAAATGGTCCGCTGCTAAACGCAGTCACTGGGCTCACTGCTAGTCTTTAATAAGAGCCACATGATGGTGGCATTATTACTAACAGTGGTGATGCCAGTAAGAGGATACTTGGCCCTCTACGAGCTTCCTCCCTGAGGCCCCTCGGTTATGAAGACAACATCAGCCTCCCCACAACCTATTATCCCCCAGGTTACAGCTGGGGAAACCGAAGCAGAGCTGCAGAGGGACTCACCACATACTGATTCAGGGCCACAGGAGACAACTAGAGCTCAGTCTGGACTCCACTGTGGAGCCGACCTGGCAGTTACTCCCACAGCCTTCTCATGACCTGCACCCTGCGCTTGTTCCTGACATTTGATCACTGAAGGAGCAAGCTTGCCGGTGACTCGTCCTAAGGACGGAGCTCTGCTGCCCAAGTCTTCAAGCTTTTCCCCTTGATTCTCCTCCCTCATGTGCTGCCCTGCCTCTCTACAACCTTGGCTGTACACACAAGGAACATGGATTCATCAGTCCTGTTAAGAGGCCAATTTTCCAGGACAAAGAACAGACTGAAACTAACAGGTTAAATAGACGTGCAAAAGGGAGGTGAGGGATGGGCAGGGAAGAGGGCTTTATTGTTCAGTGAAATTACATCGGAAAAAAACCAGCCAAATAAAAGCGCTTTGCCTTAAAAAAAATAAAAATAAAAATAAATTTAGTGACATAAAATAAAGAGTAACAGCATAATAAGGGAAATAAAAATTAAGGAATTTATATAAAATATGACGATAACTGCTAAAGGTGAAAATCTCGACACATCATCAAAGACACACGGCACATATGATAAGGTAGGCCAGGGCAGAGAGCGATCATATTTGACTGAACAATGACATAAATTTAATCCACCTACTTTAAGAAAAAGTTTTAGATTTCCCTGCCCTCCAAAACCAAATTCTATCCCGTATAAAAGGGAATCAAGGGAGCAAAGCAGTTCAGACAGGGGCAGAGAGCATAAACCAGAGAAAGATTTATGCACAGATAAAAATGGGAATAGAAAGGAAGCGGCGGCTGCGTGCGGACACAGGACAGGGTACAGCTCCAAGGCGAGCACACAACAGCGCCCAGCCCACAAGGGTGCGGTCCTGCGGAGCGCGGGGCAGTGCGCACTCGGCACGCTCGCCTCTACGCAGCGGCCGGCGCCAGGCCAGGGGCCGCACACCGCCAGGGGGCCGGAAAGGCAGCGCGCTGGGACCAGGCGCTGAGCAAGCGCGCGTGCGCCTGGCCTCCTCCCGCAGAGCGCCCCTGAAAACCGATCAGTCCCGGGCGGGCCGCAAGGGGAACCACTGGGGAGGGCCCCTGGCGCCGACGCTGGCGGGAGCAGCCGAGGCTGGGCTCCAGAACAACGCAGGGTCTCCAAAAATCATTAACGCGAGTGCTACGCTGTTAAAAGGGCCCTGTGCCTCGTTTTAAAAATTTATCTCTGAGGTCAAAAAGGCAGTACAAAATGCGCTATGGTATTTTAAAAAGTCAAAATTAATAAGATACAGTTAAAGCAGTGGCCAGAGGGACGCTGACAAATAGTTATGCCCAGAAGAAAAACAGGAAAATAAATGAAGTCACTCAACTCATGACTACAGAAAATTATATGGGAAGAATGCAGAATGGAGGAAATACTATAAAAACAAGCTGATGCATTAGAAAGCGTGAAGAAAGGACTAATCAGCTCTAGAAGCTGTTTTGAGGTACTCTATATGGGGGTTCCCGGCTCCCAGTCGGTCCAGGAGACAGACACACACGAGGATCGAGGATCGACGGAGGTGCCCGGGAGGGAGCCCTGCTGGATAGGAGAGAACTGTTTAGAAAAGTGAGATGATTCTAGCCCCTTCCTGCTGGGGAGAGTGTTGGTTACTCGGCCTGTATGGATGAGGTCGAAACTGGCTGAGAGCTACTTCTGAGAAAGCGCAGCTTGCTCTATTCTTACAACACAAGAGACACAAAAATTGCAGCAAGTCAGGAAAGACAGCCAGGTATAAATGCCAAGATTTCAGCCAATGCCAAAGTCTGGCTCCCTTCCCACTCAAGGCAATTCACTTAAATCATGTGGGTGACAGATTAAGAAATATAAACACGAAATGACTGAGAAAATTTTCTTCAGTTTCACAGTGCTCCAAGAAAAACTCAATGGTATGGGCAATCCGGGCAGGGGAGCCTGGGAAGACAGGGCAGCAGATTCCAGCGGAAATGCAGAGAGAAAAGCCTTTTGAAAACTGAACAACGCTGAGTCAGGAGGATCACTATGCGTTCCAGGCCAGGCTGGACTGTATAGCAAGGCGCCATTTCAAAAACTAAAACAAATTGAACAGAGTCCTGGGGATCTATGGGACAATATCTGTTATTATGCCACATAGAAACAGAAGAAGGAGAAAGGCAGATATTTTTGAAGATATAATTACAAATTTTCCAAATTTAATAAGAATTATAAACCCACAGATCCAAGAAATTCAGTGAACTCAAATACCTGTACATGCCTATCTTCCGCCCCATAAATTACTTAGATTATGATGAAAATTCACATACCTTCCAGTGAATCGTAAATCTTTTGACCCCATTTAGCAAAGTAAAGAGAACCAGCTCCTGCCCAGGGGAAGCAAATCAGCCTGAAAATTGCTTTGGGCTTCGCATATAAGCAGTTGAAAACTTTTTCATTCCTAGGGAAAAATTCAAACACATTTCACATTACAGGTATCAGCTCAGTTCTCCAAACTGACTTAAGTGTATTTTAATGAAAATCTTCATTAAAGGCACACACATTCAGATATAATGTGACTGGCATCTTTTCTAAGAAGAAAGGGAAAAAGGTTTTTATGGTCTGTGTTTGACAATCTGAATATATAAACTGAGACGTAGTTGAAGTAGTTGAGTATCTATGTAGAACCCTTAGCAAGCACATTTTGTAGGTGCAGTGAAGGCGATGGAAATCTGTGTTTGCCTTTTCACCAGTCCGGGAAGAGTTAGTTGCACCCTAACAGTTCAAGGGCAGCTTCAATTTCAATGCCTTCATTAGTGCCAGAGTCACTTTTAATTTATCTAGAAGCTTTCCAGAGCATAGAATTGTCATTCCCCATTGAGTGTGTGATAACCCAGGCTTTTGAATCTACATATAACATTATTGGAAAGTTTATCCCAAGAGCCAGGTAACCAGCCAGTTGATGTTCAGAAATTGTCTTTTTTAAAAAGCCATCCCATTTGTATGTTTGTATTCTCCATAATTTAAACCCTCCCTATAAAGTTCCCAAATTCAACATTACATGTTTTACAAAGATATCTATATATAAAACCTTCCCCAAAAGGAGACCATAAAGCTTTGTATTATGACTTCAAGTCTGTTTTATCTCGTTTTTCCTTTCATTTTGCTGTTACATATCAGTTTGTCAGGTGGTCTTGATAAACATCCAAAACTAACATCTGCTGAGATCGGTCGAGTTGGGCTGCTAAGTGAGGACTCCGTTCTTCCTGCTGTGGTCACTGGAAGCCAGCGTGGGGCAGTGCACATAAACAAGAGGGTCACAAATTCAGCCCAGCCCCGCCACGTAGATGCTTACTAAGACCCTACCTCAAAAGAGAAAATAAGGAAGACAGCGTTTGTGGCTCCAGGGGAAGGCTGAGCTCCATCCTCAGCACCACTGTCTCCCGTTCTCCATCAGGGAGGTGGCTCCTTGGTGAGAGCCTGCAGGCCCAGTTAGGCACAAGTGAAAACACTTTTGGAGGAAAGATTATTTTTGAAGAAAAATTCCTCATCTTATAACTGCTGGTGTAAAGATAAAAGCAAAAGAAAAAGGACTAATTCCAGGTCATTTTCCTTTAAAGAGCATTTGTACAGGAAGCCGTGCAGTCCCTCGTAGCAGACTCAGTGCTAACAGGCCAGCAGCTCGAAGTTAAATCTCTACAGGCATCCACCAGCTTCTTGAAAAAGACTTAAGCACTACCACAGCTTGGTAAAAACTACGAAGAAGTGACTTTCCTAAGCCTTATTTTTTTTTAAGTTCTTGAAGAGTCTAGAACAATTAACTGAATTTAACATTTCTTTAAAACAATTCCTCCCCATGCCTTTGGTTTTTTGAGACAGGGTCTCGCTACATAGCCCAGGCGGGCCTCGAACTCGATGATCTTCCTGCCTCAGCCTTGTGGGTGCCGGGATTACAGGCATGTGCCACCACGTCAGGCTCTAAAATAAGTCTCTATGTTTAAAGCCAAGAAGCCCTATTTTCATCTGTTGAGATTCTTTGTGCGCTAACAGATTTTTTAAAGCGTGTTAGGACAGGAGGAGATGAAGCTGTGCCTGGCTCGAAGACTCTGTGGGATCAAGGCGGCCTTGAAGCCGAAGAACACAATGTTAGTGGCTGCAGAACGAGGAGGGCCCAGGGGTGTCTCCTTCTGTCTGGGGCCCTGTGGGCCCTGGAGCCGGAGCTGCCTCCACTCTCTTCATCTGTGAGTCTCGGGACCGCGGAAACCCCTGCGGCGGGCACTTGAGGCTGCACGAGGGCGCAGGCCGGCCTCTCCCAGGGCCACGCCAGGGGCGCACCCTGGGCTCCGCGCCTCCCCAGCCTCCGGGCTGCTTCACCTGTGCAAAAGAGCCAGAGACCAACAGAACGGACTCGCCGTCTCTCTCCGCCCGTCCGCTTCTGCCTAGTGCTGAGACTCGGTCCGATGTGCTCGCCGCACGGTGACCAGAGGCTGCCGACACGGTCCAGGCCCAGACCCCAGCTCCACCCACCCCCGACCCGCGGCCCACGCCGCCAGGCAGCCTAGCCGCTTTGCGTTCCCTGGGCCTCCTCTTCAGAGAATCTTCCTTGCAAGGCGCGGTGAGGCTTAAGAGCATCCAAAGCGCCCACTCCCGCTTTAGGCGCATACACTAAGGGAAAACAAGCGTTATTTTCACTTATTTGACAGCGGACACAACTGAAAATCAGAAAACAGTAAGTCACTCAGCCAGTTGACAGATCGGGATTAAGACAGACCCTGCTAGGTTTAAAAGCTGCTTCCTTACTTAACCCTTTTCCCAGATCCTCAGCATCAGCACACAAGTGGGTTGCTAACTGGCAGGCGGCAGAAGAGGCTCTATCCCAGCAGCTCTGGAATGGGGAGTTGAGACCCCAGCCTGCTCCCCACTGTGGTGTGTGAACTGCTCCTTGTCTTTACCTGGCCTACACACGTGTCTCGGCCCATACAGAGATGCACAGTTTTGCCATAAATAAACACCACCGAGTCAAGGCCATTTTACACAGTAAGCTGTTGGTGTCATCATGCCCTCGCGGGCAGCATTGAGTGCCAGCTTAGGCTTCCGAGGAAGCCTCTTAGTCTTACAAAGGCATGCATCCAAGCACCTGGGGGAGCAGGGGCAGGTTGCCCAAGGAATCATCTACCTGCTTCTCTCTGCATGGACTCTTCTCTCCATGCTCCGAGGAGGTGACCCAAAGTGCTGGCCTCTTGAGCAACCTCTTGAGCAACCTCTTGAGCCAGTGCTGAATTTAATTCCTCTTTGGGTAGAAAACCTCCAATCAGCCGTGTGGACCAAGAGGAGTGACCAGTGTCTAATCCAATGAACGCATTGCCTGGTCTGGGCCCTGTTAAAAAAGAAGTGGCGGGGGGGTGTGGGGGTGCGGAGGAGGAGGAGGAATGGCCAGAAATGACATCACTGTCACTTTGGGTCATATTAGACGAACAGTGCATATCTCCATCAACCAGAAAGACAACCATGTAACTTTGCTAAACACGGCAAACAAAGATGTGTCAGTTTTCTAGATACCTGTCAAGTTGTGCTCTTTCTAAATCATAAGAAAGAGGGATTCTGAGAGAGTCTTCACTGCCATACTTAACTTCGTTCTAGTGTCACAAGTTTCAAAAATTCAGAAAAGGAGAAGAAAAATAATCATGAAAGGATCTGTAATTTTAAAAGACTTTTGTCGCTTACTTCCTAGGCATTCCTTGAGTCACCAGCAATTCCTTCAAGGTCATATTGGCCTCACTTCGTGGTCAGACTCAGACTGTTCCTGGGGCACTGGCTGATTACCCAGCCCATTGCTCTTGTAGTGCCGAGCTGAGTGCTCAAAGGTCCAGGAAGACTTGGTTACAGAGAAGAGCAAAGTTCACTTTGTTCTTGGAGCCTTTTTAGAGATATGGCAATGGTCCTGAGAAGAGCCCTCAGAAGAACCAATTAGATGATTCACAGGGCTCTCACTGACTCAGTGCACCCACTTTCTTCTTGGGATACAAAATGCCAGAAATGATGCTGTTTCTACCTACACACATCGGCAGGAAGATGTGAGACACATGTGTTCGGTGTTTACATTGAAGACTGTTTCTGAGGGCTACAGAGCTCCAGTAAAACCAGGGTGGCTCGCTCTGATCTACTCACTGGAGCAGGTGATAGACTTCTTTTTGTTAATCTTTGACTTGGCATGCCCTGCAATCAGTAATGCCAAAGAGGATTAAATGTATTTAGGGTTATTAGCCAAAGGGTACTTTCTTTAGATCAAGATAGTCTGTCTCATTTCTCAACATTGGTAGGATCCTGTAATACTGACCATGAGAAGCATCTGTTTGATTGGAACCAAAGAGTCCAAAGGCTGCGGTTTTTCCAGAACTGATACATGACACCAGTCTGAAGATAGAATATGCTCGTGATCCCAAGAAGAATGAGTAACAAAGAATGGAAGAGAAAAATCAAAGCTGAGCATGGTGGCTCTGCAGATCCCAAGGAAAACAGATTCTAAAGAAAAGAAAGTTGTCTATAGATTCATCATAATGAAACTACAAAAAGAAAAAGAAAAAGGAGAGCTGGTCATGGTGGTACAGCATGTGGAAGGCTGAAACAGGAAGATCCCAAGTTCCAGCCCAAACCGGGCAATTTAGTGGCGTAGCAAGACACTGTCTCAAAAATAAATAAAAATAAAGAGGGGTGGGGATGTAACTCAGTGCAAAAGCCCTGGCTTCAATCTGCAGTGCTGGGAAGGGGAAAAAAAGAGCGCAATAAACACAAAGGCAAGTATGAGCAGCCAGGCAGGGAGGTAAGCTTGGAATATCACCTCTGTGTGAACACCACTCGGACCCGAGCAGTGTAGAAAGGCAGAAGAGTGCAAAGTGATATCCTCGTGTGCTAAAGACAGAATCCCAACTTAGAACCTGAATACTCAGTGAAAGCATCTTCTAAGAAATGGAAAAGTAGGGCTGGGGATTTAGCTCAGTGGTTTCACCACCTGCTGCGCAAGCGCAAGGACCCGAGTTCGATCCTCGGTACCAAAAAACAAAAAAGAAATGGAAAAGTAAAGGCATAGTTTGTAACCAGGAAGCACCTTCTCATACTTGGCCAGAAGACAAATGATCCCAAACAAGAGATAGAATGGCAAGAGGAATGAAAAACAAAGACGCTGCAGATAGGTAATGTAAACAAGTACAGATATAAACCATCACTGTTTGCACAAACTAGTGATTGTAACCTTTAGCAAGCCTTAAAATAGCTATGAAAGAAAAACAAGGAATAAAACTCACATAAAGTTCTGGAGTAGGTAAAGACCCCTATTTTATCTACCAGGTTTTTTTACATTTCAACTTTAAATACATGCATTTTTAGATTTCTCAGGCAAGTCTGGAGAAGAATAAAAACAGAACATAGTTCATCCAAACTTGAAGAGAACAATATTTAGTTAGAAAGAAAAGTAAGAAAAAGAAAGGGAGGTGTAGATCCCTGGCCTGGTGGCCCATGGCATCATCCCAGTGCCTTGGCAGGGTAGTGACTGGCCCTGGGACAAAGGGTTAGAGCTGTGCAGAAGATTCCGGCCAGACCCTGCTCTAAGCAGGTCCTAAGGCAGCGAGGCGTCCATCCCGAAAGGCCTGTGACCCTCCCAAGTGGCCCACCCCATCTTCTCTGCAAGACATGTGGACTTCCTTATGGCCTTCTGATCAAAGTGGAAGCCTTCTGTGAGCCAGCAGAAGAGGTCTTGTCAAAATTGCAACTGTAGCCATGATTTTAAACCACACTGGAAGATGGGATCTACAAGGTGCCAAATGACCAGGCAGATACATTCTTTAGATGCTCACACTGTTACCTAGACCTTTTTTCCCTGTCTTCAAACCCTAAGAAAACCCCCAGTGTCTAATCCTGACTGAACAGTTCCCCTCCTGGAAGCCTGCCCACTGCCCCCCAGGATCCCCTGGTCTAAGTAAGGTAAGCTCTTATCTTTTCTGCCTTCCTTATCTACTGGTAAAATTCTTTTTACTGGCTGCTCACTGGCCATCCATATGCTGTCTCGTATGGCAGGAGGCTGAGGCGGGAGGACTGCAAATTCAAGGCCAGCCCGGGCAATTTAGGAAGCCCCTGTCTCAGAATAAAAGGGGTTGGGCTGTACCTCAGTGGCAGAACGTGGGTGAGACAGTGGTGAAAGAAAAAGCACGAAAGTAAATAGGAGACAGGTTGTGACTGGCTGTTCAGTAACGTGCAGGCTCGGCGTAGGGGAACCGGCCACGAGGAGCTGTGAAGCTGGAGGAGGAGGCAGGTGGACCCAGGACCACACAGAGCTCCGTTCATTGGGGATTTCCTGACAGGGGTGTGAACCCAGGAGGCCACAAGAGTAGCAGAAACCTGCGATTTGGGCAGTAAGAAGGCATTTGTGACATGATTAGAACAAGCCAGGCCCAGTGGTGCACGCCTGGAATCCCAGCACTTTGGGAGGCTGAGGCAGGGGGGTCTCAAGTTCAAGTCCTGCTTGAGCAACTTAGTGAGACCTTGTCTCAAAATAAAACATAAAAACAACAAAATAAAAAACACGAAAAAGGGGTGGGATGTAGCTTGGCGTGAAGGCAGTTGGCTCAATCCATAGTTTCATCGCCACAGAAGAAGGAAGGAAAGAAGGAAGAAGGAAGGAAGGAGGGAGAAAGGAAGGAGGAAGGAAGGAAGGAAGGAGAGAAAGAAGGAAAGAAAGAAAGAAAGAGAAAGGAAGGAAGGAAAGATGGAAGGAAAGAAAGAAAGAAAGGAAGGAGAGAGAGAAAGGAAGGAAGGGAAAGAAAGGGAAGGAAGGAAAGAAAGGAGAGAGAGAGGGAGGGGAAGGAAGGAAGGAAGGAAGGAAAGAGGGGGAGAGAAAAAACCGGCCAAGACAGCAGTGGCATTATCCACGACAGAGTGTACCTGGTTTATCTATGCTGATACCTACAATAGGTGGCACACTAGGGGCAGAGACAGCTCCAGTACATTGTCGTAAAGGCTTACACAGTGCTGATTGCTGTGTTTATCTTGGATTTTCTGGACAGTATGTGGGGAAACTGGTCAGAGCTCTTGGGAACAGTTGCTGTTAGGACTCCAGAAGGCTGCATTCATGCCATGTACACAGTGGTCTCAAGGAGTTTGGAACCCAGAAGGAGGAGACTCCAGTTACAGTTAAAATGCTATAGTCAGGCATGGTGGTGCATAGCTATAATCCCAGACAGGAGGCTGAGGCAGGAGGATTGCTGTGAGTTTGAGGCCAGCAATTCCCAGAGACCCTCCTAGGGCTCACATCTCTGTGGCCAAATACTTTTGGCAATCTTTCGGTGCAGTGGTGCACGCCTGTAATCCCAGCACTCTGGGAGGCTGAGGTGGGAGGATCATAAATTTGAACCCAGCCTGGGCAACTTAGGGACTTGGAAGGCCCTGTCTCAAACATAAAAAATAAAAATAAGGGCTAAGAATGTAGCTCAGTGTGGAAGCCCTGGGTTCAACACCCAGCACTGCAAACACGAAGTCAGCACGTCACCTTTCTTCATGCCTGCTCCTCTTCCTGCATTTCTTTGGACAGTGAATGATACCAGGGTGTGCCCTAGTGCCCAGCCCAGAGAGCTGGGAGTCATTTGTTTCCTCCCTTTCCCACCCTCTCCCCA